GTACGAGTGTGTTATGAATATTTTTTTGTTAATGTCACTTGCTATAATTTGCAGAAAGGCGTTTCAACTGCGTAGGTAATGATCACATATAGCATTTCGTAACTCGGCCTTTATTGCCGCTTCACAGGAAATTGAGGCAATTTATACAGGACTTTGCCTACGACTCGAGTACTTTTGCTTTGCCTTCACTGGACAATCGTTGGATAATGATTGACTTTAAATTGGCCTCATGTTGAAATCAACTCTGTACAAATCATGTGTAAATTAGGAATGTACGCGCTGATTTGATTTGTATGACAAAACAAACAGCTTTTTATAATTATGTCTTTCTAGGTCGCAACACTGTCGTGTTGTTGTTGCGAAGTTTTGACGTAATTGTTTTACCAAAATAGAGGAGTGTTGGGCTAACACACGCATTAGATGCATTACCTTCTGTAATTTTAGTGTGGCCAAGAGTAATTGCTAAGTATACGCATTTCATTAAAGTTGTTTTGATAGATTTGCTATTGTATTTTGAATTGAAGTTTTGTGTTTTTGAAGTTTGTTTTTTAACTTTTTAATTGAATGTCCTTTGGAAAATGATTGTCATTTTAATTAATATAGTGTTAATTGTCTTAAGAAAGTTTTTACGTGACATATGTTTCTTGATCCAGTTTTGAATTAATAAAAGAGAATATTTATACTGATCAGCAATTAATTTATTTACAAATGAGTATTAATTCATTATTTCATACACATAAATATCACACATCAAACATACATCGAGCACAAGTTATACATTAGCTAGTTGTTTAATGATGGAGGAGACCATGATGACCAAGGGCGAGGGGGGCGGCGGCGTAGTGTGCGAGGGGTGCGGCATGGACCAGGGGAGCAGCGTGGACCACGGGCGCGGCGTGGACCAGGGGAGCAGCGTGGACCACGGGGGCGGGGTGGTGGCCAGCGGTCTTGTGGACAACCGCGTTGAAACTGAAAAAACGTTGTAGGGTTATACATATGTAGCAGTAGAAGCCGTAAGAGGGAATGTTTGTTAATTTCAAAGACCGTTGCGTGGAACAAGGGTATGAACTGCGAACCATGAGTTTCGAATCCCTCAATCGATTGGTTACTGTATTTATGTTTATTGGTTATTTACCCATTGTGGTCGTCAGCTGTGTAGTCTACTTTGCGCACGGAACCGTCAGGCTCGACCAGCGAGTATGAGCCGTGCACAGCACCACCGTCCCGGCTCTCGTGCTGCGACTTGTGGTCACCAGTGTGGGGGTCAGCCACGGAGTAAGAGTAGTCGTAACGGGGGTGAGACTGCAAAGATAAAATATTTTAAGAAAGGAAAAAAAGAGGAAACTTATTAGAAAAGAATGTCGTAAAAAATGCTTACGTATTCGTGACCGTGGGCGAGGGCAAGAGGAGCGGCGTGTACAACGGGGGCAGCGTGGGCAACGATGGGCGCAGCGTGGACAACGGGAGCGGCATGGGCAACGATGGGCGCTGCGTGGACCACTGGGGCGGCGTAGTGCGCGGCCGCGTAGTGTACAGGTGAGTCATGACGCACTATGCTTTGCGATGACACCGCGGAGTGGTGCAGCGGCAGAAGACCTGCGCTGGCGGCCGCCAACACGGCGCTCAGTACGACCACCTGGAAAATACATAATTATAAATGTACTCTCTTACGTTTACTTTTCACGTTATACACCTATTAAAGACTTCAAGTATGTTAAAAGGCCTGTAAATTGAAGTTTAGTTTCCGATGTGTGATGTTTTTTTAGTTAAGAAAACAGCTAAGCTTTTATGCTAAGCGTGATTCTGTGCGACATTAATCTACTATACCAGATAAAATTTGATACTAGATAAAATTTGTATATTCAGGCTTGGTATTAGATTACGACAATATTTTTTTTATTGATAAATTAAAATAATTTACTATCGACTTACTTTGGAGAACATTTTGCGGTTGCTAATCAGTGCAAGTGAATGATAATGGTATCGTGGTGTGGTGTGACTTTTATATGAAAACAAAACGGAGCTGTGGTCCTTTGAGTGGTGGGGAGCGGTCACTCAGTTCCGTAACTCTGACACCGCGAGGTCGCTCACGGCTCGCACGCGACGTGTAATAATAATTCATTAATCTCCCCCAAGCCGTCGGCGCCTTCGCCCCAAAGCTACCGGGCGTACTTACATGATAAATTAATGTTGCTCAAATTATTTTACATAGCCATTTTATGTCAGTTTAACTGGTAGTTAGTTGAAATGAGATTGAAATAAACAAATTTTTGTATTAACACAAAAATAAGTCACAATTCTTTATGAAAGCTTCTTATTCTATTTACTTATAAGAATTTCTTTTGGTGCTTGAAATAGCAGTTTGTAGTATAATTTTACTAATATTATAAATGCGAAAGTTTAGATGGATGGATGTTTGTTAGAGTTTGTAGCCTTAACTGTTGAACGGATATCGATGAAATTTGGCATGGATATAGAGGATAGTCTAGACGAATTATTTATTATTCCACGCGGACGGAGTCGCAGGAAAAAGTTAGTTTCTCATAAATAGTTGGGATACAAAATTCGTCTTTCAATGCATAATAATTGTATTTTCGCACTTTAATGTATGTCTTTATTATCCTTGATATACATTTGTTTCCCTGCACCTTGCTCTTTGTGCAAAATTGTATTAACTAAATGCCTTATAAGCGGTAAAGCTTTTCTTAATATTTATTTATAAATAAATTGTTTATCTGTCAGCCCTCATTTAAACGGCATCGATAATATAATCATAAAATTAAAAACTCTATTTGTTAACCGGTGAATGTAAGTTCATAATCAAAAGCTTGACCTTCGGTGCGTTTAACGGACAATTAGTTCCAGATAAATTTGACAATTTATTGACATGTGGTCGCCTACATTATCGACTTCATATAATTACATTACAATAGTGTTGCGAAACAGATATATCTAGTGCACAGTGAGTTTAACCGCACGGTGGTTATGGTCCCGGACAATATCTGCTGCGGGTTTGATTTCTTAACTTCAGTTAGTAATGCGATCACAAGGAACAGATATGGAACTGCGCAATAGTGCAGATAACAGCCGTTTTGGTTGTCGCTTAATTTTAAATACGGAATTCCTAGTCATAGTTCATTAGGCCAGGTTCACGAGAAAATATTAATAGACTTTTCTGTAGTGTTTTCTGTACTTTATTTGTTTACTAGCTTTCGCCGCGACACCGTTCGCGTAGAATTAAAAAACAAAAGTAAGTCCAATGAGTTTTAGCGTTTATTATGTAAAACTATTTTTTTTATTGATATTGTATTGTTAAAAGGTAAATAAAGAGTAGCCTATGTCTTCTTCCAGACTATCCTCTACGTTTATCCCAAATTTTATTTCAACAGTTAAGGCTACAAACTCTAACAAACATTCATCCATATAAACGTTCCCAATTATAATATAAGTAAGATTAACTGTGTCATATGTTGTCCCACAGCCTCTTTCGTTCGTTTTACTTCGCATGATGACAAGTAATTTGCATAACGACTGCACTGAGCTCATTCTGTGATCGTCCTCTTATTAGGTGACATATAGTGCAAAAACTTGATTTGAGTTTTGAACTTTACGATAGAAGCGTTAGCAACAAAAACAAAAGAAATATAATATTCTTAACAAACTTTTTATTGAAGGGTGTAATTTTAAATAATCAAACCATGCTTCCTTACCATAACGCAATCAAGCGTTTTAATTTACTATTCGTGACTCTATACGGATTCGTATTGTTTGGCATTCCCAACGATTTTAACGTGACCGAATGTCCCACGATTGTTGATTGATTTAATTGGTTTGAACTGCGATCGATAATTTCAATGGAACATGAAAAAAAATAGGAATTCATTACATATTATTTAAATTTAAATTGATAATGTCATATTAATTCATACTATTGGAACATCTAATAAAGTATTATTAGGAGGCTCTACTACGAGTATTCAGTGTGACTTCTTACTGTCAATAAACTAAAAAAAAAAAACTTTTTTTCCGTTTGACTTAACGAAATTATATGGAAATTTTACTAGAGAAAGTGGAAGAAAGATGAATGGAATGATCATTTGAAGAGTAAAAAGTACATGGTCTTTGTTAAATTCTTACTTATTTTTTTTATAAAACCTTGCAAAGCAATAAATGAGAAAGATCACAATGAATCATAAATAACTCACTGTGTAGTGTCCCTGACATTATGTTCGCCGTTAATTCTAATCAATGGGCATTGTTCAGCATTGTTAATCTTATTTATATGGTCGTGAACTACGAGATATAGTTCAATAGTAAATTCGATAATAATTGAAAATAATTAATGGCAAGAAAATATTGTTTTGTAGAACTATAACGGTCTGTATATTTCGAAAGGCAATAAAGTCCCATATGTTAAAGGATGATAAACTATGAGATGTCAATAGCCCAGTAGATTGCGTACTCTAAATTGAAAATTAATGAGACCTCAGTATCAATTTAGTTTTTCCCTTTTAATGTGCTCTGATACTTTTAATGGACAAGAGATCAAGTGTCAACTTTTAAATGTTAAACTTTGTAACTCTATTATATTATGTTAAAAACAGTGAACAATGAGAAAGAAAGAAGAAATGAGTTCTCAAATTGAAATGTTATGATGAATTCAAAAATAAAATTAAATATAAAATCCCGAAAGATGGATGAGGAATTTTATTACAAAAGTTAGTTATTAATGTGTCGTTTTAGTATTGAACAAAGATAGAATTTCCCACAGTATTTCTATTGTGTAAAATTTTGCATACTTAAACTTATAACAACAAGTGACACAAAATTCGCAATTAGGCAAGAGAAGTAATGAAACTGTGTTAAGCATTATTTAAATCGCTTATGACATCGCGACTGCAGCCGACAAACAAGTTTTCTATTAAACAAGGGCAGTAAACGGGTGTCGACGAAAGTTCTGCCCACGATCTTTCTCAATATTCAAGAATGCGTAAGGATTTCTTCTACCTGTACGTGAATAGTTCAGTGTTATGTTACCTATTAGTATTTACTACACAATATTTTGTCCCTTATTAGTAGCACCTTGTCCTTCGAAACTAAAATGAAAATGATATTGAATTCAAAATTTGGTATACAGGTTTAAAAATAACAGAGAAAGAAGACTTTGACCTGTTATAAAAAATACTTCTACCCTAACGAGAGACTGATTTTCTAATTTATTGAAATACAATTGTGTTTAAAGAATGACTGCCGCTGCTTTTCGAAATTTCTACGCATAACAAACTGCAGCTTTTAATAAAATGCTAATACAGCTTTTGTGTTAACAACATATTAATTTTAACGAAATGTCGATTGTTATCTGTGTACATTTTCAACAAAATCAACACTACGTAATGAGAGTGTTGTTACAATGTCGTTATAAATTACCATGTTTGCATTGCTTTCGTCATTTTAATGTATATTTGTATAACAAACTTTCGCAACGTGTGCAACTGGTGTGGGTGTGCGCCTTAATTAGACTACGTTGAATTCGTTTTTGTTACCATAACATTAATTAAAGTTTATTTTCTCAATATACGACTCTGAGAATAAAAGAAAATAGAACAAATAACATCCAATAGTTGACATAACTCTAGATTAAAAAACAAAATCTTTAAAATGCGATCGCTTAATTTTTAGTACAGAATATGTTTGAAAGAAATGGAAGGAGTTCAAAACACTAAAGACGATTATAAGTTTGTACTAGATTTTATTGACTAACATTTTATAAACAAACATTTAAAAGGACAAAATCAACGAATGCGAGTTTAAATAAAAAAAAAACTTTGGGTTATTAAAAGATCGGACGATGGTATCAATGGCGATGATGTTGAGAAGAGTACACGTGGTGACTGGGACCTGAATTGTGGACGACTGCGTTGAATCTGCAATGAAACGTCACGTGTTAGTCATGATGTTTACAATGTGAACTCGTTTGAAACTTGTTTGGTACACCTGCCGGCATGTGAATGCGAGTCTCGTACGCGAAAGGTCGACAGAGTTCATTACTCATATGGACCGGAACGCGAATCGTACAACCGGTTAAACAACCATATGATCTTAAACGTATCTATAACTTACGAGATACAGCTTCCGGTAATTAAAACTTTTAGCAATGCAATGTTAGATTTTGTAAACCAATTAAAACAGGTTAGGTATTTGTAATAGAAAGGAAATTATTGTCGTTGTGTTGAAAATTGTGACGACTAATATCACCTCTAACGACATGGCCATGGGGTTAGGTAAAAACGGGCCTTTTAATGTTCATACTTCCACAAACTCACCACTAATGTTCTGTTAGTATACAAAAAATAATTCATTCGACTAGTCTAAAAATATACTAATTGCAATTATGCTTACCCGTTGCGGTCATCAGCGGTGTAGTGAACCTTCCTGAAGGTACCATCCGGCTGCAAGAGCGAGTATTCCCCCTTCACAACATCGCCGTCGCGTGTCTCATGCTGGGCCTTGCGGTCACCGGTGTTAGGGTCCTCCACGGAGTACGAATATTGGTATTGAGGGTGTGACTGCAAGATACAAAAAAAAGATGTATAATTACAGCAAAATTTGTAGCAATACATTGCAATTAATACGAATTCATAAATAATCTTACGTAGTAGTCATTGTAGCTTCCATGCTGTCCGTTTCCAGAATATCCCCCAAGGTGGCCATGGGAACGTCCATGGGCTCCACCGTACGTTAGAGATGCACCATGTCGGAAAGGAGCAGAATGAGCTAGAGGTACACCATGGGCAAGTGGAGCAACATGCGCTAGAGGAGCAGCGTGTGCTAGTGGTCCAGCGTGGGATAAAGGTACACCATAATTAAGGGGGCCTGCACGGGCGAGAGGTGCGGCAACGGCAACAGAATTGGATTGAACTGAGGATGTAGCATGGACTACTGGACCTGCGCCGCGAGCCAATAAAGAATTCTGTGCTAATGGTGCAGAATGGACGAGGGGTGTGGCGTGGGCAGAAGGAGATGCGTGGGTCAAAGATGTGGAATGGGCCAGAGGAGCCGCATGTGCTAAAGGACCAGCGTGGGCCAAAGGAGTGACTTGGGCCAAAGGTGCGGCGTGGGCCAAAGAACCAACGTTAGCTAAAGGCGCGGCGTGGGTCAGTGGCGCAGGGTGTGACAAAGGACCGGCATGTGCTAAAGGTGGTGGATGAGCTAAAGGGGCAGTGTAAGCTAAAGGAGCAGTATGGGCTAAAGAAGTTGGGTAGGTTGCAGGACCGGCTTGACCGAAAGGAGCAGCATGGGTCAATGAAGCTGGGTGAGTCAATGGACCACCTTGAGCAAATGAAGCTACATGTGCAAGAGTTGCTGCATTCGGGAAAGGAGCTCTTGGAACGAGTCCTCCGGCGAGGCCAAGGGCACCACCTGGGGCGTACTGTGCGCCACCATACGCTGCTCCATATCCGCCGTAAGCACCGTTGAGAAGCCCAGCATGGGCCACCGCTATCACAGCTACAAACGTAAGAATCTGTAACAATTAAAATGCATTACATTTTTCTCGTTTAATACAAATTAATTAAATGTTTAGAGGAACTCACTTTACTAAACATTTTAGCGTTGGAATGTAATCTTTTGCTATGATACTCTCGATGATAATCCGAGGGTTTTATAAGAATAGTATCTCCGGTGGGGCGTCGAGAGCGCTTCACGGATCGTCCCCGCGGTCGCAAGGTCGGGCTTTGTCTTCACAATCTCGTATTACACATTATCAAGTTAATGATCGTTACTTAACAATAACACTCTGTGAACTGCTCGTACTACGCTTCAGTATTGTGGGTCAATGAGGTCCGCGATAAGATGTTATTATTACTTTAACAGTTGTATTTCGCAGCGCATTTGCAAGATCATGAAACTGGCCACTAGGTGTTGAGATACTGGTCGTAAATTCATTACAAGTTTAATGTTCCTTGCTAAAAGCAGTTGCTTGTTAGGTGGTACGGAGTATATTATTTTGCGTTGTAATTTGTAACAAAAATATTGCTCCGTCCAAGTCAAAAAAATTGTAGTCTGATGTCAAAATTCATTTTTATTTAATAGAGTTGTAATATGTGTTTTTTAAGTTGTTATTAATTTGTAAAAGTATGTTAGTAAAAGAAATTTATTTTTTTATCAATATTTTATAGTTCATCCATGGTTTTGCTTTAAAATGACAATACTATTAAGTTACCAAGTTCTAGAGTGATAAGTTTAATAAATAGAAACCGTAACATTTGTTTAAATGTAGTTCGATCTTTCATACTTTAAGAAGAACAACATGATTTTCATTACTAGATCGAGATAGTACGTTTTTGTTAGAATGGCTTTTTTGGCCTTTTACACGCTATTAGCCAGGTTAATGTGTTCTAAGAAGGTTACTTTCTGACTTTAAAGGTCAATTGTCTTATCTAAATCAAGACCACTAAATTCTAGATTCAAGACAGTGATAGTTAATTTAAGTTCTGGTAATTTTAAATCTATTTGTCTTAAAGAGCATGATAAATCTTATTATTGCCAAAATAAATATTTAAGTAAATCAATGTTTCTTGTAATAACATTAGTCTTTTTTACCTTTTGAAAATTCACATTATATTTCAATATAAAAATTGACTATTTATAGGCGTGGATAAAATAAATAAATTTTGATATATTTACAATGAGTTTAATAAATTATTTTGTGACATAATTAGATAATCATTGCGGGTCGAGATCAATAATGGTGATAGTAGTGCTGAGGATGGACGGAGGGCGCAGAGTTGTGAACAACGGCGTTAAATCTGAAAAGACACAATGTTATATACCACCATTAGTCTTATGTTATCTTAAAAGACGATGTTTAATTTATTAAAAGTTTTGCCAAAAGAAAGCCGATGAGAATATTTTTATTCTGGCAATTTCTTACCCGGTGTGGTCGTCAGCGCTGTAAACGACCTTGCGCACAGAGCCATCAGGCTGGACCAATGAGTAGGAGCCGTGCACAGCGTCGCCGTCGCGGCTCTCGTGCTGCGACTTGTGGTCACCAGTGTGAGGGTCAGCCACGGAATACGAAAAGTCGTATTTGGGATGAGCCTGAACAAACATGTAGCTATAGTTATGTACATCACTCACAGTATATCATGTAAGCACCTAATCACATGTGGTACAAAGCTTTTGCGACAGTCAGATGTTTTCTGACGACCACAATGCTTAAAGTTAACCTTCAGTTTCCAACGTTTACTGTGGTTAGCATTGCTCCCTTCATAGCCTTAATGATGTTCATCACTATCCTAGGAGAGATGGAGCAGTATCAACTATCACTTACATAGTAATCATGACCACCATAGACAGCAGCGGGAGCGTAATGTCCAGAATAAGCTAAAGGTGCATAATGCCCCTGGTACACTGGGGTGGCGTGACCGTCGTGTCGTACGATGCTCTGAGACGAGACAGCGTGACCGTGTCCATGGTAAAGGCCGGCATTGGCCGCAGCCAGCATAGCACCAAATGCGAAGATCTGAAAGTAAATGGTCGTTTAATATTTTTTCTGATTTACGGAGGTGAAGGTGTCCGATGGTAATAAAATTTATTGTCACCCGTGTTATTAAAAGTTTTTATTGGTTCTTTCGCTAAAGGTCACGTTCCAGCACATTAAGTATTTAATTATTCTCTACAGATGTTCCTTTGAGCTTTAAAATCTTCTTACCTTATTCTAAAGAACTTTGTCTAGCTGTACTACATCACATTATTTTATTTTGTCTATTATAATTCGGGTTTAATATCTACTTACTTTGCTGAACATTTTGCTTGCGTGTTGTCAACGTGTTGTCAGTTGTTTGATGTCAATAGAAACTGACCGTGGTTTTTATATGACTTAATATTTGTACGGACAAGTGGGGCTAGCGGTGGTATGGACCTTGGTGGAACAAAGACAGTGAAAAATACTCGATTAACCCAATTTGGTAGTAAAACATGTCATGGTATCGATATCTATTATCGTTGACCATGCATACTGCCGTATTGCGTGATAAAAGTAACAAAAACTTATATGATTATTGGCTTTCAAATAATTACACGATAACAATTATTGGGTGTCTTGATTTTATGACTCTCGTTTTACCTCTTTTCACTTCTGAAAAAAGTACTTTAACTTATTATTAAACGGCTAGACAAACTCCACTTTTTGTGACTGAATGGCCACTGTTTGCCTTGAAGAGGCATTTACAGATTCACCGGGCTTGAGGTGGCCGAGCGCAGATGGCACTTAGCCTAAACCTCGTTTATGAGTAACTAAGCTCAAGGGCTCCCTCAGGAGCCTCGGCACGAGCCGTTACTTCGTTATTATTACCGAATTGGGAGGCCGTCGAGCTCTTAGATCGTTGCGGTGGTACTTCGGTACTTTTATAAGCTGCATTTTTGTTCCGCGTCTCGTTGCAAAATTTTCAAACGATTGTAGCTTTTAAGGCGAAACACCGACAGTTTTTTTAGACTGTACGTAAAGCAGGTATACTTATAAATATAAAATTCTTCTTTAGAAAATCCGCACTCCGTAAGACCTAGTATGGTATTTACATGTGAAATGTGAACATCGTAAACTACGTGTGCTTTGGTCATCCAAAGTAACAAGTTACCGTTGTATAACTTCACGTAATATGGAAAATGCATGACCAATATACACATTTATTAGTGTCGTCGGTTTTTAACAACTTTATGGCTTTTTTTTTATCAAATTGTATTAATTTACATAGCTAAAGCGAAAATTACAACAAACTCTGATACTTGAAATAAGATTGCCTTTTATTACTGTTTTATTAGTTTATAAAAAATATTGAAATATTTAGAAGATTGTTTGTATTCTTATACGAGTCGATTAGTCGAGGATATTTCAGCATTGTTTCTCAATATGTATTTCATAATTAAATCTCTCTTTTTCTGACATCGCTAAGACGAAATGGCTGTACAGAGAACGCGTCGACTTATCTACTTAACCTGAGAAGGTTGAATATAAACGAGAGTGATGCGGCATTAATCATTCAATATTTTGTAATACTAGCTGTTTTCTACGACTTCCTCTTTCAGAACTAAATAACACTACTCAAGTAACCTATGTGTTCTTCCAGACTGCGTTCTCTATCTATGACAAATTTCACACCACCACCACATTGATAGAGTCTTTCAGAGATACCTTTTAACCATTATCCGTGCAATCATCCCTCCTTTTAAACTTTCGCATTTATAGTATTTGTTATTCCTACTATAGGAAAAGACCCTCAGATATTATTACTTTTCATATATAGTAAAATTTAATTGTCGATTATAAAAATGGTTTTACTTTCCGCATGTCATAGTTACTTTGTTATTTTCATGAAAGTTATTATGTCCAATAAATTCAATGTTATAAGCTTTAACTACCGCAATTTATTCTTTATGGTATAGTTTTATGTTTTGAGAGTTTTACAATTATACGTATGTACACTACGATGTGGATTCTGATAATTCTTCCATTCACCTTAACTAGACAAATACCATAGTTTAGTTCTATTATTATATAATTTCTCTAAAACTTATAACTAGCTGTTGCACGCGACTTCGTCCGCGTGCAATTAAAATTATTAAAAGTTAGTGATAACGTCTCTTTATAGTGAAATAATTTTTAAAATCGACCTAGTAGTTTTGGAGTCATTGCAATATATACAAAATACAAATATTTCCACTCCATTCCATTCCACTATTTACATGTTAGTACTAGCTTTCCCTTGCGGCTTCATCCGCATAAAATTACGAAAATTTTATTTTATTGTTTACATGTGTCAAGTTATCAATTGCAAATGTCAAAATGACATGACATGATGACAACCTTGCTTCCTTGATGTTGGCAGCAACTTATGGCCTCTTTCCCACATTAGGGTTTTTATTCAAAATATTTACTCCCTAAGTTTAATGGCGTGAAAATATATAGCCTAAAGCGTGATGTAAGTGTGGGGCTTTCTATTAAAAAAAGATTTATTCAAAAATATGCTGCAATTTCTGACATCTTCAAAAGAAGTGTGTGTTTATGCTTTATTATAATAGTATAGATAAAAATCAATAAAAATGTTTGTTCAGACATTTGTTAGTCTATCACTAATGTTAAGTAATAAGTATATGAATGTAATGCATAATTAAACGCCAAAAATCAATTAAGTACGCTTGATTGAGTCTATTTTTAATTACATACATTCAAAGGGATACACAAAATTAAAATAAAATTCAAAATTCAATTAGTCTTTATTGTTTAATTTTACGTTGATTTAAAATCCAATAAATAAAGTTAAATTAACTTCTTTCAGATCAAAACTTCTTAGTAATGATAATAGGCAGGCGCTGCGTGCACGAGGGGGGCTGAATTGTGAACAACGGCGTTGAAACTGAAAGTAACAATATAAATTATTTTGTTAGTCAACTAAATTAAATGACATTTTCATGTGGTCACAGGGAATATTTTTTGTCAGGAATAATAATTAACAATATATCTTTGTAAGAAAACAATGTGGATAAAGGAAGTATTGACAAATGATTTAAAAATGTTTGCTCCAGAGAGACGGATATATAGAAATAAGGAACAATGAAGGTGTGATCAGAGAAACTTGTGGCTAAATCAACACCCTGGATTTAGTTACATTTATCGCCCAGAATATAACATTTTATATAAAATTTTAAGAAAGTACCCGTTATGTGCGTCAGCGCTGTAATCAACAGTGCGCACGGAGCCATCAGGTTGCACCAGTGAGTACTGGCCATGCACAGCGTCGCCGTCACGGCTCTCGTGCTGCGACTTGTTGTCGCCAGTGTGGGGGTCAGCCACGGAGTATGCGAAGTTGTATTTCGGATAAGCCTGGAAAAGAAATATGCTCAATTGTTTTCCTTCCCTGTTGACCTTTACCATCATCAGTCCACCATGATGAAAAGTGTAATCAAGTGTCTTGTGGTCTTCGTAATATACTAACCTCGTTCTCTAAACACAGTTTTATTGAATATATTTTACTTAAACTACATGTGAGGTACTCCTACCAAGGAAATTTTTACCAAAATGTACATAAGTTCTTAAACGTACATATTCATTGTGGCCACCGTAGTAAGCAGGGGCGGCACCATAGTACCCAGCGTAGGGCGTAGCGTGGCCTAAGGCAGGGTAGCCGGCGTCATGTCTGATGATGCTCTGTGAGGAGACCGCGTGACCGTATCCTGGGTAAAGATCGGCGTTGACAGCCGCCAAGAGAGCGCCGAGGGCTAGTGCCTTGAAAAAAAAAATAGACCTATTAATCTGTAGAAAAGACATTCAACTTTTATTTATGACTTTCAAGAAGTAACAATAATAAAAACAACGCTGGTGACTCTAGACTCTACGTAGTATAGTATTGTTATACAAAAGTGATCGAAAACCTTAGATACCTTAAGGTAAAGTAGTACTTACGGTAGCGAACATTTTGAGAGCGATTTGTATGACAATCAGGTGTTGATTGATGTCAATGGCCCAGCGTTATGGTTTTATAGAACAGCTGAGTGCGGTGGGGCAGAAACAAATGCATGGGCCTTGACATCATGTGCGTGATTTTAGCTGCAATTTCAAGATCATAGAAACATTTTAGTCACTCTATCGTTACACTAAGTTGGTACATGTCGCTTACAATACGATAAAAGCAAACGACAAAAATAAAAAGGATACATGATACTAATTTTTAAAGTTTCCGTGTGTTATTGAAGTCGGACTGTACGCATGTAATCTACATGCATAGATGTAGGAGAAGCGCCTTTGATATACAACCGAGTTAAGAGATTCCAAATCTCTCACCCCTCATAGTCTCGGGAGTGAGTATAATGTGAAATAGAAAGCGCATCCCTAACTTGGGGTAGGCTTTGAGGCTCTCAATTGGGACATATTGTGTAGCTAAAGATGATAATGATATTAAATTTTCCAAACACTGAGGAACGAAAGTTATATTTGGAATTAAAAATATTTCAAGGACTGATCAATGGCAATGGTCATGGTTGTTGGTTTTATGGAGCGGCTCGTGTGCGGCGTACGCTTGCGGTTTCCTAAAGTATTCATGCACAAACGGTCAATGTCCCTTAAGTTTTTTAGCAATCAAGGTTACAAAGCTTATCTAGATGAACTTACATCTGATTGACAATCGCTAATTACGCTTTTGTGATATCAATGATTGCGTCAATATTAATTAGTCGTGTTTTAAATACGGTCTCGTAATATTTGATTGAATATTTGTAATATTTATTGGCATACCATTCATATAATAATGGTTATTAAATCTATCGTTTCGTTTGTATTCGTCGGCGTTTACTATTAACCTTTTTATTTCGCGTTAAGTAAATACTACGTTAGGTTAAGGATTTACGTACTTTTATAAATAGATTTTCAATTTAAACGACGTATTAAAATTATACTAACGTGTAACTACACCAAACTTTTGTGTATACTTGCTTGTTTTTTATTTTTGTTACGAAGTTATTTACTCTATGGAACGAGAACTTCTAACTTAAGCGGAAATTGCTCTCGCTGATGTAAATCAGTACGTAACTTCCGTAACATCAAACCTGTTAAGAATTTCACACGACGCGTCATAGAAGTTTACCTTCAAACTTTTTTCTGAAAGCTTGTTGTAATTAACTAATAGTAGGTCAACTCAGCAAGTGCAACTTTTTAAACTCGATTAAATTTGGTATAGATAGAGCATAGTTTAAAAGAACTCATACGCTACTCATTTTTGTGTTTTTTGCGTTTACTCATGCGGACTGAGTCGCAGGCCATGGTTCTACATAAAATATTTCGATCGTACTGGTATAATAAAATAACGTTTTAGGCATACATGTTTATTCTATAAATTTAGTACTTTTAGGTCTTATTACCTTATTTGTGACGTAGTACTATGTTAAGGTTAATTTTAAACGAATAAATTATATTTTACACAACTAACCATGTCAAAGCAATCAACATATGTAATTGTAAGCATATTGAAACATATTAAAGTTACACAATTCTCTAATACCTCTGATTGAAAATTGCTTTATTTTACAGGGCATGTTTTTAACATTTTTTTTACCAATAATATATTAGTAGATTTTTGTTAATTTACTAAGATTTCCTTTAACTATTCCAATTAAGCTCTACGCTTGTGCTAGGATATGGTTCACGACAATAGTCGAATGGCGGGATTCAAACCCTCGACCGCAAGATCAGTAGTCCGTACCCCAAACCATTAGGCTATTGGCGCTTATTGATATCTTTGTTTTGTAAATAGATTAGTATAAATACTTAAATATTAAGTAGAATATTATAATAATGCTACATCAGAGTCTACATTCGATTGTAAGGATGCAAGCGTCGAATAATTGCGGAAAATATAGTCTTCGATCTATCAATGATCATTGTTTTCGTAGGTCGGTTCTTCGTTGGTGGGTTGATTCGTTGAGTACGTGACGTCACACCTCTTGATGGTCTGCGAAGTTAATGCGTCATTAATTTAAGTAATTTCGTGCACCTGTTGAATGAAACAAAGATAAATGACGTACAAATTTATCATCATCGGCGCCGTGTGAATTAGACACGGCATTTTCTATAACTTTACAACAATCGATTCGTACTAGAAGCGCCGTATTACAACTTTATAGCGTTCACGTTGATCCAATTTGTGAATCATCTAAACATCAACAAATACCACAGAATATTTCGTAAATTAAACTATCATTAAATTACAAAATTCACATTTTAATTATCACATGAAAGGAAATAACATTTCGTCTAACTACAGATTTAAGATTGATCCGAATTCTGGTGAATTTAATGTTTTTATAAAACAATATGTGCACGAAAATGATATACAGTCAGGCGACTATGTACCTTGACTTTACGACTTTGCTATTCAAGGCACATTGCTCTATAAAAATTATGTCAGAGACAATTAATTTGATTGATACATTAAATCACATTGTCGACAATTGTTAGCTGATTTTTTATTACAATGAATTAAGTATTATAATATTGCACGACTTCTTGTAAGATAGATGCAGCAAGAACATAGTTGTTTCGTCTCCGCGTTCCTCATATTTATTATTCCAACCGACCTTCTTCGACCCTTTGTCACATTCCATCCTCCTCCGCTCTTTCTTCGTCTTTTGGAACATCTGGTTCGGAATTCGAACTTTGAGTTGAGCGTTGACACATACGCATGCGGGGCTTAGGGAGAAGGAAGTGTCAGATAGTTGTGAATGAACAAACAGTGCAGCAAGACCATCAAATACGCGCATTGCAGAACAACCAGGTAAATCCCGCAAGTGTCCGCTTCGGGGAACTTTTCCGAACCTTACCGTCCTTTAGACCCGTACTCGTTATCCGACCTAATTTCAATACTATCCAAAGACGCTACAATAGTTTTACATTATTCGTTAGTATTAAATGTTCTTAGTTAATTTCATTAAGCCCGCTGCACTTTTAGTTTTAACTAAACAAGAGTTTAATTGTACGTGTGTAGACAATACTGACTATTGTATAGTTTAATTAACAATTAAAAAATAAGGACGAGTGTAAAAACGTATTTGATTTCCATATTTGTGCAAAGATAATTACAAAATTAGTGCGTTATTAAATCAGTAATGATAGCGTCCATAATTTGACTTATATACGTGTGGAACAGACTTATGCACTTTTGCATGGAATCTGAAACAAAAAAAAAAATTAATAATTATACATTTGGATAAAAAATCTTCGTACTTAATAAATTCAAGGTAATAACTTCGATTTTGAATTGCAATTTCTTGTTTGTAAGTCTGTTTTCTAATTACCCAGTGTGGTCGTCGGCGGTGTAGTCGACAGTACGCACGGAGCCATCAGGCTGCAGCAGAGAGTAGGAGCCGTGCACTGCGTCACCATCGCGGATCTCGTGCTGGGACTTGTGGTCACCGGTGTGAGGGTCAACCACGGAGTAAGCGTAGTCGTATTTGGGATAAGTCTACGAAGAAAAAAAAACATTATTTTGATAAAATAATTTTACAACAGTAATATAGAGAAATCATACATTAAATAAAACCAGTATCAAATATCACAAGCAAACGGCGCATAAAATAATTCATAATTATCAATTTAAAGAGCTCTTACGTAATAATCGTGGACGCTATAATATGGCGCATGAACATAGTGACCATAATGTGCAGGGGACACGGCAGGCCCCTTAAAATAACGAGCGACGATCTGAGATGAGACAGCGTGGCCATGACCATGGCCGTCGTATAAGCCGGCGTAGGCACATGCCACTAGAACACCAAAAGCTACTAGCTGAAATTAAAAAGAAAACATGAATGGAAATAGAATCAACAATAAAAGTTATTAAACTCCTGGATATCAAGTCAAATTATCTAATAAGGGCTTGTTTGTATTGAATTTTTAATTATAGAATTATCAAATAAAAAAGACGAATATCTTACTTGACTGAACATTTTGTTAACTCTTTAAAAAGTTGGAACAGAATAATATGAATCGTGTATTCCAGTGGTTTTATAGGACTTAAAGATTCACTGAAGTGTGGTAAAGAAATCCAACCAAGCCTTGTTCCTAAATCAATTTTGATCAATATTTACAGCGTTTTCGCAGACTCTATTGATTGTATTAATTGAAATCGGATATTTTCTAGTGAAAATAACGACTTTATATCATACAAATATGAATTTAATTAACATATTTTATACATTGTTGTTAGTAGTGCACGCTAACAATACACATCATTGTTAAGTAATCCGGTATGATTTGCATACGTATTCACAAATGAGACAGCAGAATGTAAAAAATCATCAATATCTTATATAGATTGAATAACTGCTTTTCGGTTGTTTTTTGTTGTCATGGTAAATATACGAGTACTCGTACATTGGTTCAGGATCAATTAATATGCAATTTTTTTGTTACTAATGACGTGAGAATCAGTGGCTGCGAGGAAACCATCCTAATGTTGTCATTCTGTTTTCTTGCTTAATAGCATGTCTGTCTGCATATGTTATATATTTAAGTGATTCAATTCCTATTTCAATTTAATTCTTCATAGGCCAAAAATATAAGTTACTCGTGTTACATAAAGAAGTGTGTTATAATGTCAACCACTTGTATTTGAATTTACTTAACTTTATCGTAAGTACTTAAATATCGACACAGTTATTTTTAAATGTAGTACCTGAACTTAAATTTTGTAATTTTCTAGTTTCGATTTCCGCTGCATTCCATTTCTTTCGGATATCTTTTAAGAACGTATAAAGTACGATTTTTTTATTTCGTAGAAAATGGATAAAGTCAGAAAGGTTTGGGCGTGAAACTTTTAGATTTTCATTTGGGCTGTTTATAAAACTAGAAGACGAAACTTGCTTTTAGATATTATTTATTTTTACACTATTTACATTGATAACACAGGACAATAAATTAATCGGGCGAGCCCATTGTTTCTTCATATAAATCAGTAATGATGGTAGCCATGAGCGGGCGCGGGGTGTGCAGCGGGGGCGGAGTTGTGCACCACGGCGTTGAAACTGTAAACAAAAGACATCATTGTAAATCTATGTGACATTGAGTATAGAAAAACCATAATCTGGATTGTAGTAATTACCCGGTGTGGTCGTCAGCGGTGTAGTCGACTGTGCGCACGGAGCCATCAGGCTGGAGCAGAGAGTAAGAGCCGTGGACGGCGTCACCATCGCGGATCTCGTGCTGGGACTTGTGGTCACCGGTGTGAGGGTCAGCCACGGAGTAAGTGTAGTCGTATTTGGGGTGAGCCTAAAATTAAAAGAACATTGTCTTAATTAAGTTTGACTGATACGATGGAGTAAAATTTTAGCCATTATTCAGAAAGTGAATGGGGGTGGATAGGACATAAACAATATTTGACTAAATGCAGTACTTCTATTTCCTGAGGTATACTGGCTTCCTAAATCTGTACTTACATAGTAATCGTGACCATCATATGCGGCAACAGGGGCAGCGTAGTGGGCGACTGGGGCGTGTACAGCGTGGGCAACGGGAGCGTAAGCGTGGGCAACGGGCACCGCAGCGTGGGCAATAGGAGCGTAACCGTGTCCAGCATCATGACGCACTATGCTTTGCGAGGATACCGCAGCTCCATGGCCATGTCCCAAGAGACCGGCGTTGGCGGCCGCTACCAAAGCGCCGAAAGCTACAATCTGGAAAAATGTTTTTTTTTTTAAATAACGCTATATTGTTTCTATTTAAGTTTATATGATTTTTATTAAATTTAAGGAAGAATTAAAATAAAATAAAATAATTCTTACTTTGCTGAACATTTTGTGCGTATGGTTTTGCTACCAAAAGTTGATTGGTGTCAACGGTTGCACATAATAGTTTTATACGAGATTCGAGCCGTGGCGCGTGCTCTGATTATGGTGGGGCGGAGAAATGTATATTGTCACCTTGACTCTCATACTTACATGATCTCAAGGTCGTTTCGCTTTGCACAAGTCTTCAAACATGAGTTAGTTCGTTTATTACGAAAAGACATGCAACGTGTATTTCCTGTTTAGTAGTGTACCTATTTTATTACTAGTTTTTTTATATGAATTTAAGTGTTGTTGTAAATGCATTTCTTAAAAACTACTCGTGAAATATATTATGTCGTAATTTTATGAAGTTTCCAAAATAGATATCACATAAGTAAGAAAAGCAAATATTTCGACTTGAAGTGGTTCGGTTTACGCAAAAAGTCTAATTCGCTCTGAGAAAGAACTTTCAACGAGTCTGCAATTAGCCAATAAATTACACAATATGCAGAACATACTATATTTATGCTAAAAAACGATTACTAGTTTGTTCACTATTTATACATTCTCAACCAATAAATGAATTTTTTACCTATTCGAATTATATTATTGGACCTCCGGTTCCTTTTAGAATGTAAGTAGTCTCTTGTGATAATTTAATTATGTTGAAAAAAATGTCTCTCTACAATTGGAATATTACTTTTTAATAATTCCTTAATGTCGATTTTAATTATGTATTACCTACTGTTAAATATATTGAGAATGTTAAATGTATTCAAAATTAATCTCTTCTATTTTAAATACGTTAAAGTTGTGACAAATATTTTTGACTTAAGTACATAACCAATATTTTACGTGGGTCTTCCACAAGTGTGTAATGTAGATTGTAAGTCTGTTTTATCAGTAGACCTGATGTCGGCGATTAACATCCATTTTTTATGTATAAACCAGCGCTTGACTAAGATCCCACTAAAGTGAAGATGTGGTCGAAGGATGGTACGCGCTAGTTCAGTAGGTACATAAAGTACATTTTAGAACTTATGAATTACACTGATCTTATTCATTTCCGTGTTTAAATTGTCTTATAGACATCGATAGTCATGTTATCGACTACACCGGTAATTTTAGGCTAGGATACCTATTTTGTGTATCTTAGTATATTTTTATTTGATATTAAGTATATAGTTTTACCAACAAACTCTGGATTGCCTCTTGTGTGACATTTATAGTGCAAATTGTAGCAGGATACACTGGTCGATGACTTGCTACGTCTTATACTTTTGTGTTTATTTATAGCGTTTTTTAGAAAAAAAAATATCGTATTCAAAAGTTCAATAGAATTATCCAAGAATAAACAATGTTGCGGACAAATTTTAAGAGGTTAAGGAAAAATGTATGTGTGATGTATCGACTTCTAATTGTTTGAGCTTAAAAATATCGTTCTTCAACATAGAATTCAAATTTAAGGAGACATTATTTCTTTCACGTTTAGTCGGAGCTACTCCTTTACGTATATGGTAATATCTCATACGACAAGTAGCATAATGTGTTCACCACAATTGGATAACATTAATATTGTCTAGTTGTAATAACTATCTTTATCATTATTTTGTAATTCGTATTTTGTATAACATTTATTATTTGCACATATATCATCATATAATCGTGCTCTTTGATAATATTTAGCTCATTGATTTGTTTTTTTTTTAGTATAAGGTGATAACGGGTAAGTGGCCACCAGAACTGACCAATATAACAAAAAGGCCGCTGCCCAAAGACATCCGCATTTGCAGATGCGTTGTTTACCTTTAATCAATAGGTGGTGGGACACACAGAAAAAGGACATTTTCACCACCTATACGTCCCATCCTCCGCAATATTCAATTTTTATAGAGGTGTCAATAAAAGTTATGTATAATTTTATATCACATTAAAGTTTATAATTTACAGTATTCACAATCATTGCACATGTTATAAATAAATTAATGATTAAATTTAGTAATGATGGTAGCCATGAGAGGGCGCGGGCGCGGGGTGGACGGCGGGAGCGGTGTTGTGCACTACGGCGTTGAAACTGGAACAAGTAATGTTAAATGTTAAAATAATTAAAAAACCAAAAATTAAGTAAACTCTAATCAAAATACTAATAATTTATATGTTCGAAAATAAAGAAAAAACTCGTTTGTTGAAAAGAAATGTTATGTTACCCGGTGTGGTCGTCAGCGGTGTAGTCGACAGTGCGCACGGAGCCATCAGGCTGGAGCAGAGAGTAAGAGCCGTGCACTGCGTCACCATCGCGGATCTCGTGCTGGGACTTGTGGTCACCGGTGTGAGGGTCAGCCACGGAGTAAGTGTAGTCGTATTTGGGGTGAGCCTAAAAATGAAAAAGAAATAATTAGTACAATAGTTTCAATCAACTTTCAGATAAAAAAGTTTATGACTGTAAGAAATTACTCACATAGTAGTCATGACCACTGTATGCAGCAGCAGGGGCAGCGTAGTGGGCAACTGGTGCGTATTGTACGGCGTGGGCAACAGGCGCGTAAGCGTGGGCAGCGGGTGCGTAGGCTTGGGCAACAGGAGCATATGAGTGTCCAGCGTCATGTCGCACTATGTTTTGGGAGGACACTGCCGCGCCATGTCCGTATCCAAGAAGACCAGCGTTTGCGGCCGCTACCAAAGCGCCGAAGGCTACAATCTGAAAATACAATGAAATGTTTAAAATTAAAATTGTTACTTTTAGTAGCACAGTAATCCCTTGGATTTTAATTAGCAAACATTTCAAGAAATTGGATCTAGCTTTTACATTTATTAATACAAATCGTTCCGATAGTTATCGTTAGACTTTTTTTCCGGATATTCAATGAATTGAACTTTATATTAGGTAGGAATGAATGTTTATAAATTTAAAAAGACGATATGATATAGTTCCAAATGATATAGTACAATGCCTATACGACTTACTTTGCTGAACATTTTGTGTGTATGGTTTAACTACCGAGAGTTGATTGGTGTCAGATGGAGGAAATAATGGTTTTATAAGAGCTGGTCACCGCTCGGCCCGGCTCGAGTGGGGCTGCAAATTGCGCGACTACGCCTTGACTATGTGTAATACTTTTATTAATTCAAGGTACTAAATCTTTCTCAAAATATTTTCATAAATATATTTGCATATAAAATAACTGCAACTAAAGAATGCATCTGTCTGTAATTATTGCGAATTGTTGTTTTTTATATCATAGTTAATCTTTTTAATTAAAGACATTCAGTAGTTATGCGATAAATAAAGTAAATATAGGATACCTTTAAAGAAATGTAAGCTTAATTTAAGTTATTCAATATAGTAGTTACCTTTGTACAAGGTATTTGTAGATAGCTAAGTCGTGCAATAAAATTCTTGACCTCATGTTTCTAAGCGTCATTAGCGTTTAAATTATTTTAACATATTAGCCCTGTGATCGATGACAACGTTATAATTTAGAATCGATTACCATGTTCACCAAAGGTAACTTTAGTTATTTAAAAGCGTGGTTGGCTCAGTGGTGAAACACTTTATTTGATGCAAATCCATGTTCGATCCCCTACAACGTAAAATTTTTTTCGTATGTTGATGTTTTTACAGCGAAGAAAAACATCCTGTATATTTGCGGAATAAGTTGAAGAGCTAAATGAAATTTACCAACTCGCATTGGCCCAGCGTTGTTTACCAATGCCTTGTAAATCCTAACATAGGGTGGTTTCCGAGACCCACAGTGGTGAGCGCCGACTGGACTAATTTGTAACAGGCAGAATTAGCATCGTTGCGCGCGGTAATGCACCGCGTTTTAATCCTACTAGGGAGAAGACCCACAGTGGTGACCTGTAGTGAGCTGATGATTTAGAACTTAAGGTCGATATAGAAACGTTTGTGTCATTATTTCTATGACTCCAATATCAAATTAAAGAGGAATTATTAATATTATAACAGTTTTATTGATTGTAGAGTCCTTTAAGCAATTAGTAACAACGCAGAACTAATACTACGTGTATTAGAGATTAGAGAGTATGGTAGTTTACTTTAGGTATTCTAAATAGTAGGCATTTGAAACATTGAAAGATACCAAGACTTGTTAATGTATTTCCGATAGTGATATTTCTAAGTGATTATTCCGATGTTGGCACATTTGTTTACGCAAGTACTAGTCAAGAGAGTGAATGCTGGTAATTATCGGTCCAGGTCGACAAATTACACTGGAATTCATGATATTTTACTACTTATAGTAATTGATAGTAAGACACAGGAAAGGAAGTACGTAGTAATGATGATCCTTAACGTGGGTTGCTATCGTTGAAATATCTGTACAAAAGATATTTTTTATCTCTATTTTTCTCAAATAGTATGAGAGAGCCGACAACATTTTTTGTACATATGTTTCGGCAGTGAAAACTTAGGATATACACCATGGAAAGTGATTAAGAAACATTCGTGATTTTTGTAAAAAAGTAATTGGCGTTATGTTATGGCGGTTAAATTTGATTAACACCTAATACGTGAAATAAAATTTTAACAAACTCAAATAGTAAAGTATTGGACTTTTTGATTTTTTTTCTATTTAATTTTATTTAAGTTCAATCTATAAATTTTATGATTTTGACATTGAGTACTGTAATTAAATATAACAAAACCAACAGTTTTTGTTTCAATTAACCTTGTTAAAACTTCCTTTAGATCGTTTTACTAATATGGTTGTTATTGTTTTAACCTTATAGTAGTTATTATCTTTATCGTAAAATCTCAATGGGGATCATGAGATTCCAAACAGAACTAGCACTAATTAAAAATTAATAACAACATTGTATAATACTTTGAAAATATTTAATACAGATTATGATTGTGAACTTCCTCCTCTTTGAAGTCGATTAAAAAGTAGTAAGAAAAAGAAAAGATATACAATAAAAATATTAAACATCTAGCTTTTTCGTAATAGCTTTACGGGGTTTGTTTTTAAAACAAAAAACATAAATTGCGAAGATTGTATGTACATTATACAAACGAAACATTCTGTTTGTTTATTCAAATTAATCATATTCAATTTATTTAGTTTATTTAGTTCGGTTAGAGGAGATTGAGTTATAAGTATTTTACATACTTGTAATTTTCATTCCATTCAATATTGATATGATGTTTACTGTATGAAACTAGTTAAATATTAATTTTTAGGATTAGGGAAAAAGTTTTTGTTAATCCTTGTATATTAATTTTCACGATTATCATTGGTAGACTCGTACAATATAATCTATGTTTACAGTTTATCTAATTTAAAAAAATTACTGAAGACAATTGTAGTAAAAAGTCCCGTTTTAAACGAATATTTGTAGGAAGCTTTAAATGAAATAAAAATTTTGTTTCAATTTTTATCACTATTTTTATTTACAGTATCACAATCATTGCACAAAATTATAAATAAATAGAAAACGAACTCGAACATCATTATTTATGAAGTTAGTAATGATGGTAGCCATGAGATGGCGCGGGCGCGGGGTGGACAGCGGGGGCGGTGTTGTGCACTACGGCGTTGAAACTGAAATAAATAAAAAACATGTTTTATAAAAGTTATTATGGTATTCATAATTATGGTAATTAGTATAAAGGAAATAATGAATAACAACGCATCGATCACTACTGGTCCAACTTTGAGTATCACTTCAGCAGACACCTTTAAAGATATATGGTTAATATATTTAAATTTTCTGGTAGAGTATAGTTACCCGGTGTGGTCGTCAGCGGTGTAGTCGACAGTGCGCACGGAGCCATCAGGCTGGAGCAGAGAGTAAGAGCCGTGGACGGCGTCACCGTCGCGGATCTCGTGCTGGGACTTGTGGTCACCGGTGTGAGGGTCAGCCACGGAGTAAGTGTAGTCGTATTTAGGGTGCGACTGTAAACAAAACATTGATAAGTATTTGTTGAAGACTCTACCATGTTAGGAATGTCTTTAACTTTAGGGATTAACTTACGTAATAGTCATGACCGGAGGTGTAGGCAACTGGGGCGGCGTGGGCAAGTGGAGCGGCATGGGCAAGAGGAGCGGCGTGGGCAAGAGGGGCAGCGTGGGCAAGGGGAGCAGCAGCATAACCACCGTGGTGAACCACGCTTTGGGAAGTCACGAGTCCGCCGTGTCCGGCCAGAAGACCAGCATTGGCCGCCGCCACCAGAGCGCCGAAAGCTACGATCTGAAAGTAAAGAGGAATAGGAATAATATTAAATCAAATAAATTTTAGTTCTTAATAATTTTGCATATATATTCTGACTTATAAAAAGTAGTGAGTGTTTTAATGACTTACTTTGCTGAACATTTTGTGTGTGTTTGTTAGAAACCAAGTGTTGATTGATGTCAATGGTCGGACATAATGTTTTTATATGTGCAAGTGGCGGGCGGCTGCGGGCCCGCTGGTGGGGCGGAGAAATGTGCGCGGGCACCTTGACTCCGTAACACTGACATGAATTCAAGGTCAATCTGTCTGCATTTAAATCTATAATCGTGAATCACTTTACCGATTAGAATATAAAAATAGTGATCGTTACTGTTCACCGGTATCGTGTTTCCTATTTTGTATCCTATTAACAAATTAGTGTGCATTTAACCGTGGCGGTAATAGACCTCAGTTAGACGTAATCGGACGTTTAAACTAACAATGCCAGACAATGCTTGCACTTGAATTTGAGAATGACTGGATAAAACATTTGCTTAAAATTTACCCATGTTGAACTTTTGTTTCCATATTACGTTGGAATAAGGCAATGACTTTCAGATCAGAAAATCAGATTAGCCTGTCCCTCCGTAGGGCTACTGTTCCCTGAGTGGCAGTTTCTAAATTGGCTAAGTTGCCTAATAATTGACCATATCAAAGCATGTAAAATGATTTATTGCTTATTATTATGTAAACTTAAAGCTCTAGCTCAATTCTTTTTATTTAGATAATAATTATTAAGCGCTTTAAATTTCGATAGATCGAATTTACCTCTTCAGACTTAGTAATCAAGTGCTTTGACTAATAAGGTAAGGCCTTGCAATGGAAAGTAATCGAACAATAATAATTAATAATTAAGCCCTTACAAAACGCATACCTCTTGCGTAGTGTATTGGCACATTATCATTTATTTCGGGTAACTGGGTCAGGTATGATAGAAAGGCAAATACTTTCTGCTACAATTATAGACTTTTTTTAACTTCTAATATATTTAAAAAAGAGATTTAAAAAAAAACAAGCATATCTTACTAATATTATAAATGCGAAAGTTTAGATGGATGGATGGATGGGTGGATGGATGGATGGATAGATGGATGGATGGATGGATGGATAGATGGACGGATGGATGGATGGATGTTTGTTAGCGTTTGTAGCCTAAACGGCTGAACGGATCTCTATGAAATTTGGCACAGGTTTAGAGCATAGTCTGGAAGAACACATAGGCTACTTTTTATCCCGGGAATCGTTACGGTTCCCGTGGGATTCATTAATTTAGTTTTTTAATGTTTACTCGATCATTCTGCAACGGTTCAACATATTTTATTGAAATTTGGCACAGATATAAAACAAAGTCTGGAGTACATATGGGATAAGCTTCATCCCTAGAAATGTCCGGTTCCCGAGGGATACGTAACTTTTGGTAATTTATATAGTTTGTATGTTTTCTAATACTACGCGGACGAAGTCGCGGGCAACAGCTCGTATCTAATAAGTGTAACAGATTGCGGTGACGTAATTTTCAAAGCGTTCCTTTTGCTTTTCAATTAATTTTAAAGTTAATTCTCACGATAAATTAATCGACTGCGTTTATTAAAATAGCGGTTATTTTTTATTTTCTTTCAAACAAAGTGGGCGATAAGTACACAGTTATAGCTTGAAAAACTTATGTAAGAAAATATTGAATAAAGGCATGTTGAATCCGGGAAAAGCTTTTGTAAATAATGACATATTTTTTGTTTAATTTTGATCTATTTCAAATAATAGTTTTAGTTGAATCTGTCCGTTACATGAAAAAAAAAACCTTAGTTCATATTTAAATCACAATTGCTTCCTCCGTTACAAATAATGCAAATTATTCAGTTTGTTTATTGTTAAGATAATTACGGAGATTTATAAATATGTATATTGCGCGGATACGTTTCAAAAATGTTACGAACCTCGCACACTGCGTTAGTTTCAAACCTTGAATTTTTCAAGTTATTTTGTAATTTACGAGCTCATCTACACAATAAATGTAAAATGTAACTAATAAATGTTATCTTGTAATATATACCGATGTTTTACGTACATCGATAAAGAATAGGCTTCCTAAAAACCTGAAAGATTAAATCTCAAAATAACTAAGTAGAGGTCAGTACTTAACTTTTATGGCTCCGTTTGGTAATTACAATATTTTTATGAAATTATTGTAATTATAGATTAGAATAGAATAATATTTGCAAATAAAAATACTTTTTTTTTAAATAGTATGCTCAATTTATTTTGTTAAATAATCTTAACTTGCTCGATTATATAGGTCAAAAAATTACATCAAAATATACAAAGTAACAGTCTTCACGAGGAAGTCTTAAGGTTTTGTCTTCTAGGACATCTAACATGGTTTACTGGCTAATGTGGGCAAGAGAATATATGTCAAAGGAGATGGATTGATTCGAGGTTGAAAATCAACATTAGTCCCACGTAGTTTCCCTTGTAGGCATTTTATAATATCGCTGTAGGATACAACATTATTATCATCAGATGAAGCTGGTGTTTCGCTTTTTGTAGGTTGTTCTGTGGTTAGTTCTTCGACATTTGACACTTCTCCAGGAGTAGTTTTAATATCATTGGTGGTCTCTTCGCGATTGTTTTCAACTTCTTTAGCTTGATCGTCCCCTCCATCCTCTTTCGGTTCTTCTTTAATTTGCTCACTTTTTGCTTCGTTGCAAGGCGAGCTAGAATCTTTGTTTTCAGATTTATCAGAACTTTCTGGAGCTTTAGGTGTAAAATTTCGAACGACCGCTTTAAATCTAAAAAACAAAACACATTTTTTTTAGGATTATCATATAGGATTTCACTATTAACATTAAATAATCAAACTAAATAAAACAATTGATTTATTACCCTTTGGTATCGTCTGCGGTGTAAGTTACTTCACGTCTGGATCCGTTTGGTTCAATCAGCGAATATTGTCCTTGAACCACGGACCCATCGCTTTTTTCAGTTTGTGATTTTTGATCTCCTGTATTCTCATCATATACTGCATAAGAGTATTGGTAGCTGGCTGCGTCCTTTGTAACAAAAATATGTATACAGCAATTATTTTAAATTCTACTTTTGCTATTCTTTTTTGTACATGCATATTAGTAAGTGATAATTTAAAACTGTACTTACATCATTATTCGTATATACGACAGGGACATTAGCAATTGGTGTTTTATACGCTATAATGTTTGCTCTGGCTTGTGGAGGTATTGCTGCTAAAGGCGCGCCTGGAATAACACAAGGCGCTACACACGGAGAAACGATCCCTTGTACTGGTTCCAATTGTACAAACGGATCCACTGGTGCGGCAGATATTTGCGCCAGCTCCGGAGTGACGATGGAAGCAGCAGGTCCATATTTCACATATTCCACAGGTTTACTTTGAACATAAACGTTGGAAAACGAAGCTCCATGTACTCCTTTCACGAACAGCCAGAAAAGAAGTGACACTGTTGTAATGTCCTGAAAAAAAGCGCGTTTATATTACTTGATTTCTAATTTTAAAAAGTTAAACACCATAACTTACTTTGAGAATCATGTTTTCGATTGACTTTTTGCAGATGACTGAAAGCTAAAGGAGGATGTCTCGACTTTTAACAGGTGATTCTTTTATACTTAAAATATTCTTTTCACCGCCACCAAAGACAAAGAATCAATGTCGTCCAACAATTGAGTAGCGGTAGACAATAAAAATGTTAATCGGCATTTAACACAGAGTCCGTCGCTTGCCTTCTCCCACATTCAGGACGCGAAACAGACAATAATGTAAATTGTACCGTGACATTTGAGTTTGTGCCAAATTACTGGATCATTGTGTACTAAAATTATGTAATCCTACAGCATATTTTACTTTGCACTTAACCTATATTACGTTTAAACTGCTCACTTAAGTTTAGCGTCTTAATCATCATAGTTACTGCAGTTGTATCCAAGACTTGGTCGAAGAGTGTTCTAGTTACTTTCTATTAGCAACTACATAGGTCTAGTTGTTTTGGAAATAAATATCTAAAATATCTTGTAACTTGAATCCAAATAGTTCAATACATATAACTTGTGAAACGAAACGACGGGAATGAAACATAATCCGTGTCTCTATGCTGAAATTTGTGGCGGTGAATCATATTCGATATCAATCCAGTCTTAAGTAATATATTGTGCTAAAAATGCAACTGTGGCTGTCTGTTCTAATTTACAAACTCTTAAGAAATCCATTGATTCATTCATATTACATTTGTGGTTGATTGTTATAAAGTTTAAGACTATAAGTTTTTCATTTTTTTTTTAACTGGCATAAAAACATTTTGTATTTCCTGCGCTTGCTCTATAAGTGTTTTGCGGTATGTGTTAATTCAAGCAACAATATTTAAAAAACTTTTCCTAAAGTGAACTGCTCAGTAGCGCCTACCTCGATATAAGAGCAATAATAACGCTACGTGGAAAAAGGATTGATATCATCTAAGGCAAAGTTAAGAGCTGTGTTTTAGTTTGTATTAACAAATCGACACACGCAAATTTGATGTAACAAATATAATAGGTGCCGCATTGATGGTCCAATTCACAGCGTCTTCCTTCATTAAAAAATCTAAAGGAGTAAATATTGGTACAGGTCAATCGCAATGATTATTTTTGAAAATCAATTCATAGAAACCTGTATCTAGAAAGGTATTCTGTACCAAAAAATCAAAATATCCGTAATTAATAAATTAGAAATCTGAGTAAACGAATTCTATAGTTAGATCTTAACAGATGTAAAAGAAACTTATGCAATGATTCGTAAATAATTAAGGTACAAAATAAACATTTTTTTCTTGTAAGACTAAGTTTAAAGAAGGTGTATTAAATAATTTAATGCAAGAGAATTTAAGCTTATTACGAAAATTATCTTGGAATTAATCAAAAGACGTGCATCAAGTCCTTGAATTATTAAAGTCAGTTTTTGACCGACTTCCCAAAAGAAGGAGGTACTCAAATTGTCGATATGTTTTTTGTAACATGAACTAGAAATAAAAACTTTAGGCAGTATAGGAACAAATAGCAAAAAAAAAACCCACTGCATTCACTCTGGGGAATACTACGAATTGAACGATATAACACTTTTCATAATTAGCCACGCTGTTTGGAAAATTCTATACAGTTATTAAATTTATGAAAGTTTGAAAAAAAATTCAAGTAATCTAATTTTTGTAAAATAAACTCGAGTATTAATAGTTTTTCAAGTCAAATTAAAAACAGTATATGATGTCTCTAAAATAATAGCAAGTTAAACTTGCACCGTAATTTCAAATTAAGACAGATTTAAGGTCATTTGAACGTAAACTGAAATTAGTCACAGCAACGGCTTAATAAAAAACAGGCTACAGGAAAGGAACTAAAAATCAGTAATTTTCTTATGGATTTTTTATTAAGTCTGTCACAGTGTACATTTACGGTTTCGATGTAATTAGGTTACGTGTGCTACTAATATGTGTTTTTTTTTTAAATAAAATGCCTGGTCAAAAGAATGTGTCTAAAAATCTTTCAAGTATAGAAGGACAGAAGACAGATTCTTGGCCTCTTTCCCTTTAGTATCCAGTTACATAAATTCTTCGACTTTAGGTAGTATTAGGCAAGTTGTTTTAGTTTAATCTCACCCATGAATATTTGTACCAAGAGAGTTCTAAATATGTTGACAATCTAATACTATTATAATAAAGCGTAAACACACACTTCTTTGTTGCCTAAGATGTCGGCAATTACAGCATATTTTTGAATAATTAGCCTTAGGCTTTAGGCTATATATTTTCATGCCATTAAACTTGGGGGGCAAATATTTTGGATAAAAACCCTGTTTATAATATCACGCGGATGAATCCTCACGCGAACAGCTAGTCTTCAATAAGTTGACACTTTTATTGAGGTACTTCGAAACGTGTATTGGAAATACTGCAGCAGGCAGATGTTTTTAAAAAATAAAGTATAAGGGTATTAATACTTGAATACATTTGAGGTAATGAAACAAATACATATTTTTTAATAGTTTATTTTCGCCGCAGTCTTAAAAGTTAATGTCGACTAAAGACTATCTAGGTAAGTAATAAGGTACATATTAATATCACATGGAAGCTGTGGCCTGCGCCAGAGATGTTTAGTGGTGGTATTCATGATGCGCGGGCGCAGTGTTGTGCACGACTGCGTTGAAGCTGGAAAAAAATTATCAATTAAAATAGATATCATCAAAATTATTCTGTAAAGTTTAACAATTTCCGAGAATTTTAACAAAGCATTGTTTACGGAGAGTTATAATTCTCTTTATTTTTTACTAAAAGTTGTATTTCATTTAAAAAGGAATTGCCTTAACGTGTAGAATTTTTGTAATTTTTATTGATTTCTTAAGAAAATTAAAAACTATTTACCCTGAATGATCATCAGCGGTGTAGGTGACCTTGCGGAAGGAGCCATCAGGTTGGAGGAGAGAGTACTCTCCCTTCACGACATCACCGTCGCGAACTTCGTGCTGGGTCTTGTGATCGCCGGTGTGGGGGTCAGACACGGAGTAAGAGTAGTCGTATTTAGGATGTGCCTGGAATAGAAGTTAACCTATGTTAATTATAGCAGTTATTTAAAACATTCCTGATATCTTCACAATTAAAAAAAAACCATTACATTGGTTTTAACGACAAAAGACTGTAAAAAGATAATGTAACATATTTTAACAGCTCCGTGATCGAAGGGTTGTTAAATGATTGATTTTTAGAATGATTAATAGAAATTTTTAATTGATTGTGCAATTGATAATAGGCCTCGGTTGTTAACAATCCAGATCCAGCATAAATCAAGCGTAAGAGCACGCAACTTATGCAAACAGCGGTCTATTAGACACGTACTATGACAAATATGTAACACAATCATTATATCCCTATATCTTAAGCTAGAATTTCAAAACACTCCTGGGAACTGAGTCCCAGTACGGTCCAAGTCACGACTGCAAATTTAACTCGACAGTTAGATATGGAAAACAGTTACATAATAACAATGCAGATTATATCAAATTGCGGCTCGCGGCCGACAATTCTATGGCAGTATTCTTCTGGATTGCGAACAACAATAAATCGATGTTTGAACGCTGTCCTTATTTCGTGTTACGTTATGTATATCAGAAAATATTTCACGAGATGTTTTCTAAACTACTTTCTGGTCAACCAGCAATATCTATACTATTATTATAAAGAGGAAAGTTTTTTGGATTTTTGTATGTATTGAATTAACTCAAAAACTAATGGGCCGGTTTCAAGAATTATTTCATCATTAAAACCTACGTAATCAATGGGTATGCGAGCGATGTCGCGAGCAACAGCTAGTATTATATACTAAAGTGACCAATAACTTATATCAATGTAAATAAAAGCATATAATTTTAATTTCGAAAAAGTTTCTCACAACCGAACTTCGTTTTTCCTTCCGATTATTTGTGTACCCAAACTAAATTGAATTTTTTAATTTATCTTATTGACTTCATTAATAAACTGCAATGTAAGTGATGGAAGTAATGTAAAAGTTAGTATTATAAATCTGAAATGTCTGGTAATTTGCATATTACGTTAAAATTAAATAATGACTTGAGTTTGTGGGGAATATTAAACGCGAAAACATGGTCGGTGATGAAATTAGCTTACATAAAGTTGGGTACTGGATTGTGTAGATAGGTATCGTATCCAGGAAACTGTTGATCAAGTTGGATCGGTCGAACAACACGTTCGTATTACGCAACTGATCAATTAGGTGCTGCCTATTGTTACAGCATAGTGTTGTAGAATTACACTCTATTTAATGCTTCTAAATCTTTTATTATTATACTGTTAATAGTCTTACCGTGTAATATTAATAATATTGTGTAATGCATCTCCAAACGTACATTAGAAATGTTCACGACCACAGTTTTTAGTGCATTAAGTTATATTACATTGAGACAATGGTTTGGTTTCGTAATTATAATGAGTTTTGTATATTGCGTGGCACGCTCTCATTTCTCGTGTGTGATTCAAGGTTTTAGTGATTTAACAAAGGTTTAGGTTATAATTTGAAAATATAATAACTATATTTTAACTGAATCGGAATATCTAACTCTCATTGTTTTTAAATTAGATAGATCTATGAAGTGCCAACTATGTGTAAACAAGATTTTAGATTAGACAGATTTTAAGTCGAAAGCTTTATTGGTTTCCGATGTTCAAATTTCAATAAAACGTAATGAGACTTATCAAAATAAATTACGTATAGTTTACTTTAATAACTTCAACAGATAATTCTATTAACATAATGACTAAGTTATAACAATTTAATGGTGATGAATGAATTTAATATCTCTCATTATTTTACTACCTTTACCAACATTGTGTTTAGGACACTTAGAAGTCGATTCAAGTCAATGAGATCATTTTTTTCTTTTTCTGAGAAAATAAAATTAAATTTTGAACTTACACGAGCTCCTAGCAGCTAACTGGCAAGAAACAATGTAAGACAGGCTTTAATGGAGTCTATAGAGTCTAATAGAAGGAAACACTTCGGCCTATTTTGCCAGAGGAGTAAGTTAGTGATATCTTACGTGATAATCTACGTGTTGATCAGCGTGTCCGTCGTACGACAGCTGTGCGACTGGTGCGTACGCGACAGCTTCGTGGTCGTAGGACTCTCCTCCATAGCCGTGGCCGAGTTGCACCACGCCCGCTGCTGCCAGGGCTACCACCGACAGGACCACTGTTGCCTACGGAAAAAAGACTGTTAACCCCTTTCTGGACCACTGGAACATTTATTCCACTTAATGCTATCAACTCGACTGTACTGGTCGAGTTTGCGTAGTGTGTGCATTTCATCTTTAAATCAGTCAATAGATTTGTATGATTGGGATGGTTACAAACGAACGCGAAACGTAAGATCTCAGTCAAGAAGTATGGAAGCAATTAACATAAGTGCGATGGATTTATCCATTTGCCGTCTATTCAATTTGATCAATTTATATACACTTAAACTTGGAGTATTAAAAATAATTGGGCATGTTTTCTTATTGAAGGACGAAGGAGATTTAAAAAAAATGATGACTGAACAATATTTTCAACTCAATGCTGAGAGCGCAGTGACTGCGCAGCATTTCCGACCAACGTTACTGGGGACAATCCTTTCACTATATTACTCAACAGGATCAGGAGCACTTACTTTGGTGAACATTTTCTGTTTGTTAGGTTTGCTTCGTCCGAACGACCACACACGACTGATGCTTAGAATCGAAGCCGCGGACTTTTATATTACTTCCCGCGAGATGCGATACCGTATACAATGTCTACGCAAGAATATCGCAGTTTGATAATGATATAGTAATTACTCAAATTTATAGCACATGGTTCAAGGTAAGTAAATCTTGTGTGAGACAATTGCATTTTAGAAAAATTGGATCAGTTGAGATATGTCTTTACGCTAGTTTAGATTGCGTCAGCCACAATGGATCTAGTTCGCCTCCTTTCTATTAAAATTGGATTAAGAAGGGAAATGCAGTTGGAATAAATTAAACTAAACGGTTTGCTTACTTATTATACATGTTAGTTGTTAGATCTCGAGCACGTTTTACGACTTTGTTTTCTCCAATGATATACAGATTCTGTCATAAGACGTGATCCTTGTTGTTTGCCAAATCAGAGAAAGGAAATCTAAAAATATAATTACAGTGATATTAGGCTCATAGTAATGTTACTATTTGCCAACATTAGCACAAAGTAACCTGATGATCGTATACCCTCGTGTGAAAAGTAAAATGTCAAATTAATTTTCAGACTATTTAAAAATATGTGTAGATTTGTGTTATCTTTTATTTGAGCTGTTATGAAGTTATCTATTGAAAAGGGATATATTGTTAACGACTAATGAATAATCTGTTTTGAACTATTCCGATCTCCAGTTTTGCTTTATAAATTAAAAAGTTTCTAACATTGTTTTATCCTGAATTCAGTAATGTTCAAATATTTAATCTAATTATGTTGAGAACTGGTCGCTGTCTCTTTGATTCTTGTGCGTATACAATTACACACTAGTAAGGAATTAGAGCGTTGCTGCGTTTGCCGTGACGCAATGCGAACCTAAAGATAAACTAATTTATTAATATTCGATCTCAGCAAGATCTACGATGATATTTGTAGAGTAATACTGATGTGAAACGCTGTCATAACTCAAGTCGAACTAGACCAATCGAACTAGAAATACACTTTGTTCTGCATTTTAAAGAGTTACTCGTAATTAAACAGTTCCTTAGTGTAGTTTTGTCGTACAATATATACACTGAGGGACTTTCATAGTGAATAATAAATTTATCACAGTTAACAGTTACCGGGTTCTCTACCAAATTGACGTATCAGAACATGGAAAAAAATATATTTCGCTTTTAATGTATTTCTACAAATTGTTCTAAATGTTTGTTACGTTATTTTAAATCGTAAATAAATACTTACGATTTCTTTGTGACGTTATAAGAATCTTAAATTTCACTTTTCACAGTTTTTATTTAATGTGTTATAATTTTTAAGTCCGAGAACTCGCTTTCCATTTTATAATCGTAAGCCAAAGATTAAGCAATCGTTTTCATTCAATGTGACATTACGCAGTAAGATAATTATTAAACGTTTATCTTCCTTTTAAATTTTCATTATATATTTGAAGATGCATCGGTGGGTTTCCGTCTTACAGTAATAATTAAAAACGCGTTATAATTTCTTAACATTTATGAAAAAGTTACATACATTTTAAAAGATTTGCCCGAAATTGAATTTCTTGCAAAATGTTGTGTAAGAAAAGTTATTAAAATTAACACCAATTAGCAATTATCGTTACCCAATTTTACACATCCGCGAGTAAATTCTTTGTACGAAGTCGGTACTATCGATGTCTAAGAGAGCCTGCAGACTAGCCTTTTTAGCAGCCGATAGTTTGATTAGATTGGACTGTCAATCCAAAAGCATATAAAAAAAAACGGTATTTTGAGCACACTTACATATACATATGTAGTTATGTTGATAGTGAATTTGCGCTGGACTAAACTATCGGGCAAATAAAACTCTCTAGTCTGCGGGAACTCTAATATTTATGTAGGTATGCAAATGTTAAGTATTTCCTGAAGACGATGAAGCATAATACCGGTATTACGCTTCTTTGTAACGCTGTAACATGCATTTGATGAGAACTTGCTTAGTTTTAGTTATAAATTAATTATGTTTTGGTACACAAAGGACTATTAGTTTAGTTCTCAATAGTATTAACCTAGTTATTATAAAGTTATATGATTTTCTGTTTTTACCATATTGTGTTTGTCTTGTGTGAAATTTGATGTGCTTTGATACTACAAAATAGATGACAGAAGAATTGCTGCCGACGAATACAATGTTTTTTTTTAATTGTAAAATAATGAAAAGGGATGTTTATAAATTAATAACGTTTATTTCTAATAGGATAATACATTTGAAATAGAATTAGAAAACTGCCTGGTAAGTTTAATGGTGGGCAAATAACGGAGCGGCGTGCAGAAGTTGGGCGTGGGCTAAGGGCGCAGCGTGAACAAGAGGCGCCGCGTGGACGAGCGGAGCAGCATGGAGAACTGGCGCGTGGGCAATGGGCGCAGCGTGGAGAACCGGCGCGTGGGCAATGGGCGCAGCGTGGAGAACGGGAGCGTGGGCAATAGGCGCCGCTTGGACTACTGGTGCAGCAGCCGCATGAGCCGTAGGGGCAGAGTTGTGCACGATGGCATTAAATCTGTAACAGAATGAAAATAAATTATTAATTGTGAGAATAGTAAACAAGCTCCCTCCGTCTCTAGAATTTAGACTCTATCTTCTGGCGATTTATTGATGATTTATAGAGATTCCATCCCTTTTTAATTTGAATTAATTTTTAATTGAATTCTTTTCATTTGCTCATGAAACGATTAAATTAATATACAGTGATTTTTTTTGAAAATATGTGGGAGTATGAACTAGTATGAAGTGTTTAATCGTTTTTTAATCCTGTTAACTGACTGCTCGTATTTATTGGTACAACAATTATGTGATAACCATTATAATTGGCCATCGTTACTGCCAGCACACTTAACATAAGTTGTATAACAAACAAGGCCCAGTGCTAACAAACATTAGGTGCTTCAGTTTCAAACCGGTCGATTTTATCGAAGTTATCGACCGAAACAACAGTTGTATAGTACGATCGTGAGATCTATTATTTACAATACTCTAAGATTATCTGCAGGTTGTTAGTTACGGTTGCTTGAAACTTCTTTGTTTAAAAGCTTGAAATATTTGTTACGTAATTTTAGCATCCTTGTAATTTATTCAATAATTTTTAAACAACCTAAATTTACTTAGAAAAGGACTGTCATCACGACGCGTGACTTTTAAGCTTGTCTCATAAGCTTGAAAAAGCTAAAATCCCAATGCATTATTGGATTTTCGTAATCTAGTCTAATTAAAATCTTCTTACCCAGAGTGATCATCGGCGCTGTATTCGACTCTCCTTACGGAGCCATCAGGCTGCAGGAGTGAATACTCTCCCTTCACAACGTCTCCCTCGCGGCTCTCATGCTGCGACTTGTGGTCACCGGTGTGCGGGTCTTCTACTGAATAAGAGAACTCATAGTGTACAGGAGCCTGGAATAAAAGCATATAATGAATTAATATGAATCGTAGTGATGAAGCTTTACATGCAATTCCGTACTTATTTTTTGAAGTTGGTCGATCAAAAAGTTGACTAAATTCGTATAATGTTTTACAAATCTTACTTAGGTATATTATAAATGCGAAAGTGTAGATGGATGGATGTTTGTTAGTTTGCTGCCTAAATGACTGAACGGATATCGATAATATTTGGCATAGATGTAGAGCATTGTCTGGAAGAACACATAGACTACATTTTTTTTAATTCATCGCAGACAGTCTCGTGCGAAAGCTAGTACATTACAATTGATAAGATGATTTATCGTACATTCGAGTGTCGAGTATCGACATTTTAGTGTATTAATAACTAGTTAATGATGCTACAAAGTAGTTATCATTTGAGACTTTGAGTAATAAGTAGATCAATCGTGATACATTAAATGATATAGTACTTACAAAACATTCTTATGTTGAGAAGTTTATACAATAACGATTTAATTGGGTCGTAACAAGCGAACACGTTTTAATCACATCCGATTGGCCTTTCACTTTCTTTTTGGGAAAAAAAAATCTTATTGTTAACAGCTTACTAAGAAATCTTTGCGAGATAAAAAATAATAATACTATTCAAAGTAATTTGAACGTAGAATCTGAAATTCAAATTGATTGAAGATCCGCCTATAAAATTTGATAGTCTGTTCGATGAATAGCTTCCGTACAAAGTTATGAAGTCAAATATAAACTGGTTAGCTTTTGCCCGCGACTCCTTCTGCGTGAAATTAAAAAAAAAAGTAAGTTGCCTATGTGTTCTTCCAGACTATCCTCTAAACCAAATTACATCAAGATCCATTCAGTCGCTTAGTCTACAAACTCTAACAAAAATCTATCAATTTATACTTTCGCTTTTATAATATTAGTAAGATTATGCGAATATACGTCTTGTAATAGCTACTTACACTCTCTTCAATATGATCAGCGCGTGCCAAAGCGACTGGAGCTTGGATAGCTGGGGCAAGGTGTTGGAGAATAGGGCCGCTGTGCTGCAGTATAGCATGTTGCTGAAGCTGTGGTGCTGATTGGTGAATGATCTGTCCAGCGCCGATACCATTGGCGGGTTGGTCATGACGGACGATGCTCTGTGAGGAGACGGCTTGGCCATGGTTTTCGTCAACCAGTCCAGCATGGCTCACCGCCACTAGGATGCTGACGACTGCAAGCTGAAAAGATGAATTAAAGTTTAAAGCAATATTAAAATTTTATACTAAATTAATGGTGTACTTTTGTTTTGTAAATTCTATCATCGACTTTGAGTAAAAGTTCACTGTGAATCTTTTTGTGATATATTCAAAGAAATTCAGACTTTTTTAATAATTAAAATATCTCACTTTAAAGTACATGTTGATGAGGAGTGTGGTGCTCGATTGATAAGGTGTCCAGATGGGCAGTAGTTTTTATAGTTGGGGTCAGCGAGGGCGCGTGTCACCCGAGCCGACAAACCGGCTGGAACATGACACGGCCCTACGCGATCGCCTCACGAATTACATCACTACTCTGACAATTTTTGGGATGCATCCAAGGTTACTGCATATTTTAAAAGCCTTCCTTCCAAGGCTTTTAGAACCATAGTCTGTATAACAGAAAATTTGGTAGAAAATACCTGGGACATTAAATTAAGTAATTTAACGTAGATTGATATGTATGCATTAACTTTTTTGTTTCTTATAGTATAATTAACATTTCCTGCGAATTGTCTTGATTTGGGTCTGAGGCTTACCGTAGGCTGATTTGACGTAACATTCTGTAGTATTAAGCGTTATGTAATTTAAATTAATCAGTGCAACAATTAAATTCGTGGTATATTTTTTTCATTATTAGCAAATACATTTATAACAATGCATAGTTTATGTGGGGCCCAGATCGGCGTTAAATCTTCAATCGTTATTGCTGTACCAGGTGTACCACCCGGACATAAAACTATCATTATTATGGTCTATATATTTCCTATTAGCACTATAAACGAGATATGTAGCCGGTGTTTTAGAGCTGGTTTCACATTTAACGTTTTAAGACAGGAAACAGGAAAATCAAACAAACGCCAATAGCCTAATTGGTTTGGGGTACGGACTACTGATCTTGCGGTCGAGGGTTCGAATCGCGCCATCCGACTATTGTCGTGAACCATATCCTAGCACAAGCCTAGAGCTTAGTTGGAATGGTTAAAGGAAATGTTAGTAAATTAACAAATCTACTAATATTTAAAAAAAAAAAAGTAAGGATTTCTATAAATGATTGTAGCATCATTTTAAGTTGAAAAACAATAACAAGAAACAATTTATTATGTTTTCACGCAGTGGGTGACCTACATAAAATGCTCATCCAGCGGCAACAAACCGGTTACATAAATTATACATTATCCAGTATGACTGCAGTTCAGCATACAAGAAAGTAGCGTACCGACTGCAACAAACAACAAGCTACTGCTCTAGTAAACTATTGCGCAATTACCATAAAGACAGTACAAATGAATTGTCTTCTTGTGATCTACAATTAAAAACCGAAGGCTCAATATTTTTTTTGTATAAACTGAAATTTTAAAGTATTCGATGTGTGATGTTGTTAAACATACTTAGAGGGGGAACTCACCTATGACTAAATTATCGCACAACCGTTGTACGATAGTGTAGTCAAAGGTGTGCGCGTGCTCTGAATAAGCAGTTTTATTCTGAAAAAACACTCAACATAGTGACTCAAGGCAGTGCAAAGTTCGGCTTCGTTATGTTACATTACGTTACGTTTTCTAATATAATTTCTTGTATAATAAAAAGCGTGTAAAGTATCACTCTTATGCATTTTTATGTGCACTATACATGCTAATTTGATGGTATTGCGGTTTAAGATTGGCTAATGGGTCCCAAGTAAACGACAAAGGATATTACAACTAGCGGAAAAGATTAATTTGTGTGCAATGTATTGATATGACATCGTGTAAATGAGTTATTATAAATTAGCTTCCGTCAGCGACTCCGTCCGCGTGGTATTAAAAAAACATAAGCGAGTAGCCTATGTGGTCTTCCAGACTATCCTCTACATCTGTACCAAATTTCGTTGAAATCGGTTCAGCCGTTTAGGCTACAAATTCTAACAAACATCTATCCATCTATCTAAACTTTTGCATTTATAATATTACTAAGATTTTAAATCGTTGATATGAATAGTACAATTTGGCTCTGTCCTGTTACGTACAACTGTTTAGTCTCTCTTTGATTCCTATCAGTTTATACGGAGGAGCGCTCATTTATTCCCCCAATTTAAGCTGTGGAATTGACTACGAAACAATTGACAACCGACAATCCCACAACAGTTTTCCGATAATTTAGTCAATGGTGTGCGCCAGCTCTTTTTCATGCGTCATATCACATAATTTTCTTCATGGGTATGGTTAAGTTGTTTAATTTTAGGAATTACAAGTGCTAAAAGATAGGCCTTAGGTAATTACGATTTACTAGAATATTTTTAAAGTTTATACCAAGCGCTCATGGTAATCGAATTTTTGCGAACCACAAGCAAAAAAACCTATGCTTTTAATTTTTTTGTTTCAGTGTTTATTAAGATCATTAACAACCCATATATAGCACGTTAATGAATCTTAATGAACGCATCTAATAAATCTTTGCTTAGTAACATTAAAGAGAACGCACGATGTAATTCAGCCCGCCTTTCCACCAAGGTCATGTGTGCGTTGTTTAACGCTAATGATTAATTTCTACGCCTTTTATTGCGCTTTTGATATTGGCGAATACAACAGACAATAGTAGCGCCACAAAATATAAAAGATTTGGGAATATTTTTGTTAAATATTTATCAATTACTAACTGTTGCGACTTAGCCTGCCCGTAATTTTTTTTTAAATAAGGCCTATGTTACTCATTGCAGTGATAACATAGCTTTTTAACGGTGCAACATTTTTTTTAAATCGGTCCAGTAGTTTTTGAGTTATTTCAATAGATACAAAAATCCAAATCTCTCTTCTTTATAATATTAGTACCTATAGAGTATAGATAACTCTATAAAGTAAATAAATTTTCTATGATTGTTTTTTTTAAAGACCTTTTAATTGATAATAAAGAAAAAAAATGATAAAGTGAATGTACAAGGTATTCATTAGTTCGAAGAGTTAGTAAAAGCAATAGTTTGATTGTAAAATTACACAAAAGTTATAAATAACGGTTTTTTAATCGTTTATCTGATAAAGAAATTCAGTGGTAGTAAGAAGATTCTTAAAAATGTACTTCTCTAAACAAGCATTTTTTTTTTGTTTTAGAAATATTAGATAATTGTTCGTCGTAATTTACTTACTGAAAAATGCATGAAGAACAGCTATCAATTCTGATTTGTATAACTGGTGTTTTTTTTTTCTTTATTTCCTGCAGCTGTTTTTTGCAGCAACCTTGTTATCTCTGTGGTTTTTTTCTTTTTTTTTGTATAACTGGTGTTGCCAGAATGTAACTAAATCCAATGAACTAAAGTAAATATCTACACCAAACACATGTGTTAATAAAACACATGTACAAAGTCTGTTTTTATATTATCATTTTTAAATACACAAATATGGTACTATCGAAGCTGTCGCAGTAACTGTATATGTTTGATTCTGTGTCATGCTTGATCTGTGTAAACGTATGTTTTGCTAATTTTTACTTATGTTATTAAGAGGAAATATTTGTCTTTTTCGATTTTTGTATGTATTGAAATACATCAAAAACTACTAGACCGATTACAGTAATTCCTGCACCATTAAAAAGCTATATCATTTACTAACAAAAATGTTTATTTTTTATTTTTTTTACGTGGATGTAGTCGCGAGCAACATTTAGTGTGGTATATAGTATCTGCTTAAAATTAAATGACGTGTAAAGAGGAAAGATTTTCAATGGAATTATACAAAGTAAAAAATAACGTACAGATGTTCTCACGATTGCAACTCCGTGACATTTTCATTATAAATAAATTCATGAGTAATTTTTGGTTGAATTGCAAAATAAAGTATCGGCAGCCATCGATTATATTGCGTGCCATCATTATTAAATGTCGAAAGGACCGACGGGTATAAATAATTATGAGAGTACACAACTTTTACATGGAAATCGTTAAAGTTCGAAGGTGACAGTGAGCTATCACTGTTAATACTGTGAGTTCTCATAGCGGAAACATGTTGCTATCTTTCTTTTAAATGTAATAATTGAAATATCATGTGTAGTTTATGTGTTTCAGTAGTAAAAACTCATGAGAATTTGAAAATCGTTCTCGAGACAACGCTCGTTTGAGAGAGAGATGTGATATCGAAGCTTATTATTAAAATAAATTTTTGCGTTAAGTTTATTTTGTATGTGCCTTATATAATACTAACTGTTGCCCGAGCAATATTAAGATAAAAAGGAAGCCTATGATATGCTTGTCTTTATCAACTACCCTTCAGTGAAAGTCTGCTCGAAATCGGCCCAGTCGTTTCGGGGATTGCCCGGAACAAACGCGGCTTTTGGACGACAGACAGACAAAATTTTTTAATTGCGATTTTTGTTATCAGCGTCGCAAATGCAGCATCGTCAAGAAATCTGCAATTTTTCTTTTAACATTATAAATAGACAGTCCAATTTTATTATATGTATAGAAGATATAGATGAATTTTTGGTTAAGTTTCTTTCTACACGTTTTCCGCATTCTATGTTTGTATTAAACAAATTATCGTCAGTCTCTTGCATATTTCATAGAAGTTGGCAAGTGTATAATTTATTATGACTATCGATGTAATAGATTCAAATCACTTTCACTCGGCGCTGCGTGAAGCGTAGTGCATTAAAATGTTTTATTCAAACCTAGGTCCTATACAAATGTTCCCACGTCTGGCCACTGTTACATTTTAGTGCAATTAACACATATGATGTATCCCGCTACTGTATTGCGTTTTGTTTTACATTTGAGGTCGAAAATGTTCAATTGTCTTTACATTTCAAAATATCCGCTTAAGCAACGTAATGCAACGTTATTAAGAGTTGTCCATAAGATTTTTGTTATGAAATTATTCATTAATAAATTACTTAATGTAATTATAGTTTGTTATGAATGAAAGTATAAATTGAATGAAACAATGTTTGTACGAAATATTGAGCACAAGCTTTACAATGTAAATGAAATAGTGAATACGTATTGAAAATGTACAGGGGAAAATATGCACTTGGATATAAGAAAGTGTTTGTAAAATAAATAAACAATATTTTAAATACATTCATATCACATTTTAATAATTTCTTGTTTTAATATACACACACTAACAGGGTACAGAGATCTTGAGCATTGAACAAAACAAAGAAAAAGGACTTAGAAAAACTACTGAAAACTAAATCTATTATCACAGGATGGGTTCTCGTCTTCTAATGATGATGGATGACAGGTGGAGAGTTGTGTACAACGGCGTTGAATCTGTTTGAAAAAATAAGGTTAAGTGATATTAAATTGAATAAAAAGAAACAAGTGTGTTAATAACTATTTAATAGTAATAATATGGCGAAATTATGTCAGTGCAATGGTCGCAACTCTAATGCTTCCGGCATTTCCAGAGACTTCCAGAGATACACAAAGTACCATGCATAGCATTCCAAAGATATCGATTTAATTTATCGATATCTCTTTTTACGATGTCGGTGCGAAATCTTGTAAAGATAATCTGTCTTCTAGTGGAAAAAGGATTATGTAATATTTGACTCTTTCTGTGACATAATAGACTTCAACTGGAGAGATTCACTGGATCCCCAAAGGAACAAACCGAGATTTAAAGGTAACTTTTCTTACCCGTTGTGATGGTCAGCAGTGTAGGTGACCTTGCGGAAGGAGCCATCAGGTTGGAGGAGGGAGTACTCTCCCTTCACCACATCACCATCGCGCTCCTCGTGTTGGGACTTATGGTCACCTGTATGGGGGTCTTCTACGGAATATGAGTAACCGTATTTCGGATGAGCCTGTAATAATTTTCACCATCATTATCGATATTACAATACCGGTTTGAACTGCACCCCTGGAGGAGTAAATATTTGGTAAAGTGTAAATTTTTGTGTGTTTTATTAACATTCGGCATTGAATTTTAGTAGCAACTGACAGCAGAACCTGCCTTCTTACCCATAGATAAGATCACGACTGCTGTTGCGATTATTAGATCACTTTAATTTGTAGCAAAATTATTAATAATGGCAATCTTAAATTTGATAAGCAATGGATCGTTTTAAATATTGGAATGTCTAGAAACTTACATATTCATCGACGAAATGGTCGTCATGAGAGGCGACAGCGTGTGCAGGTGCGGCATGGATGGCAGGGGCCGCATAGTACCCATGGGAGGCTGGTGCTGCAGGTGCGGAGTAATGCGCTGGCACTTCATGCTGGATGCTCTGCTCGTGATGAACTATGTTATGCGACACTGCGGGGGCGTGGTGTAATAGCCCAGCATGGCAAGCCGTCAGCACCGCACAAGCGATCACAATCTGCGCAACAATTTCCAATCAAAAATTATATGAGACAATATAAAAAGTAATATAACATTAATGAAACAAGTAATTTATGGTTGTGCTAAAACAAATTATAACGCTGTTAATTTTTCTTCCGTAATTATTGTTAGATAAAATACGGCTTACTTTAGAGAACATTATGCTTTGGAATCAAATGCCTTAACGACTGGTGGAGCTTTGATAGTCAACTCTTTTTATATAACAAACAAAATATAAGCCGCTCGTAGTGGGGGGAGGGGCGTCTATTCCTGACGATATCCGATCGGATCACAGTAATTGCAGCGTTGCCAATCTGCTCGCTTTATTGAGTGTCGCAAGCGATGGTATGACCACAGTATGTAGAGAAAATACATTAAGTGAGCGGCTTAAATTGTTATATTTTTTTGTTAACGTCGATTCCGAGGTTTTTAAATTAAAAAGACGCCGCGAAGCTGACATTACATAATTGCGATGCCTACTTTTAGTGTCATCAAGACGCGACGTTTTTGTAAACCTGTACATAAGCAGTTGCGAGACTGCCGCCTGGAGTTATGGTAACCTATAAGAAGATGGTATTTATGCACCAAGATTTAATAGCAAGATAATCATGTAACGTGTTACTGTATTGATTTTATTACCTATGCGCGGACAGTTTTTTGTTTAATGATATTTTTAACATAGACAATTCGTAAATGTTGTATCACCAACGTAAAGAAACGTCAATTTAGTATTTAAAATGTTAAAAATGACAGATTTCATTGGTTTATACTATACTGAATGCGATTGACGAGAAAGAAACAAGAAATTTATGCAATAGCATTTGGAATAATTTTTTTTTATTATTATTACATACTTAAGTACTTACTTTTATCTATCAGATAAAAGATACGAAAAAAATTCCAAAAATTGATAATATACAAGATTATTAGCTCTTATTCACTCTCATGAGTAAAGTTTGGATACTCTCGGCTTCTTGGCTGAACTTAGAAATCCAAAAGCAATAACAAATTTAAAAAAGCTACAATTATTGTTTTAACCTATATTCATAGAGAAATCAGCGACAGCAGATATTAAACAATAGGTTACGAATTAAAAAGACAGTGCAAAGAATAAAAAATGTGATAAATGTTTTTTTTTTAAATAAAATTTATTACATTAGTCATACTTTTAACATAAATGTCATAAGCGATGTTATATTTGCGTGGTGCAAGTTTGCGGTCGAGTAGCGGCCAGTTATGTCAGCAAATGAAATTGTGCATTCTGCAGTGGATTAAGCCTGCCTCTGCTCTCGTTATCAAATCCCTTACGTAAACTAATAAACGCCTTGAATATATTATGAGATATAAAGTGGTGCGATAGTTATTTAGTTACCTAACGCGCCCTACCGGCATTATTGTGATGCGGCGTGAAAATACACCGCACACTCTTAGTATAACTAAGATATTTAATATAGCAATCGATGTTTCTTCGCTGGGGCCTATAAAGGTAGCTAGTTATTGCTAGAAACGTGCTAATTTACAGTTTCGTAGTTAGTAAAAGTTCAGGAAATTATAAGCAAGATTACCTATTTGTCTCGATATCGACAAAACTGCTTTTAGCAAATGATTTTGTTGTAATTTGAATGCTAAAATTTAAGCATAGTAATATGACAGCTGTAATGGGTGATACAAAATTATTATGTAACTCTATCTTAAAAAATGTATTCTATTATTAATATTAGTTCCAATTAATTTTACAATTCACGAATGTTATTAAAACGGTAGTTAGAATGGGGACCGTATTGGTATAACACCGGCGAAGGTATAATGGTAACTGAGTTGCCGAGAAACCTAAGTTTATTAAGTAATCTGCTTTCGATTTCCGCTTTGGTCAAAATGAAATACTACAAGACACGGTTGTAATGATGTATATTACAGATTATGTTAGGCCATTGAAAGTTCAGGATAATGGTTGTCTACAAATTTACAAGTAGTTAATATGCAATTTACCCTTCGTTTTTTTGAAAAATTCCATCATGTCCGTATGTAATATTATAGAAGTATTAACTGTTTGAACAAGATTTATCTAAAATGTAACAAATTGTAATAAGAAAGGTAATCTCTACATACTTTTAAACAGTTGTAATTTATTTTTAATTTGTGTGCATAGAAATAAATGGATGTCTTAAAAAGGTAAATAATATATTCTTAAGAAAAAATAACAACATTATAAATACAAAACAATGTTACAAATTAAATCTTACATTAAAAGCCTACGTAATAAATTCTAGAATAATATGACGATGCTACTTCTGAATCTGGATAATGTTCTCCTTGAACTTTAGTCTGATCTTCATCTATTGAAGGGTTTCCACTTAAGGAATATTCTTCAGTCTTTTCAGAATGCTTTAAAGCATATGCACTTTCATCTTTTTCTGGTACGCTGTCAGTTGATGGCATTTCTGTTGGCAACACCTTAACCAAAGGGCCTTCTACAGTTTCCATTTTAATTACTGGTATTTCATAATTGCTGTTTTTTGTTGATTGTTCTACAAGTGGTGTATCTGTAATGTTTTCTGTGACGTCAGTAACAGTTGATGCATTTTTATTTCCTAACGATTCCTCGATGATTTCTTCTACAGCTTGTGTTGCGGTATTTTCAAAGGTTTTATTAATTTCGATGGGATTGTAAGGAGTGTAACCTTTTTTAGGGAAGAATTGAATGATCTTAACACCTTGTCCAAGCGGCATGAAGTGTTGAGTGTGACCGAATATTGAGAAAGCGTGGTCACCATGCTTGTGAACACTTTTACTAACAACTGCATTAAATCTGTAAAACAAATTTAAATGTTAAAATAACAACGCATCAAGGTATAAGAACATAATCAGCAGTGTCTACTATAATTAGATTTACTATAGCCTCGTTTTGAATGTTGACTCTGCGATGTATTAGTAAATAGATAAAATCTCGCTTACAAATTGTAAGATGTAAATGTTATTAAGGCGATTTCGGCGGAACATTTTTTTATTGTTAGTTAAATTTGTAACTATTCAATCAATTTTAAATAATCGATTTAAATCATCAGTTATCTCTGTATCTTGCTCCTCGCTCTAAATAAAAGATTATATCTTACATTTATTAAAATCCATTTGTATTGAATTCTACATACCCATTATGGTGGTCAGCGTTATATTGCACTTTTCTCAGTGAGCCATCTGGTTCCACAAGACTGTATTCTCCGCGGACTTTGTTACCGTCTCTTGTTTCATGGTGATGCTTATGATCTCCGGTTAATTTATCAGAAACTGCGTATTCAAATTCGTATTTCGGGTAAACCTAGAAAATAAGTTTATATTGCAATATAAAATTTGTTGTTATCACTTTCATTTTCTTCGGAACGAGAAACCAATGTCTCAAGTCATTCGTTAGTGGAAATAGACAATAATTAAAAGTTGATAATTCTTTCATTGTGAAGTAACTTACATGGGTATTTGCAGTAAATAGAACAGGTGGACTAGGAGGATGGTATTGTTTGAAGTACTGCCAGCCCTTTGGGTTTCCTGTGGAGTAGATATCCTGTGGATCTTCATTAGGATTGATAAGAACAGCCGAGGTGACACTCAGACAGAATAGTAACGACAGCATCTGCGGAAATATTCAGAAATATAATCAATATATGTACAAATTGAAAATAAAAAAAGTAAATGAAAGTATTTTGTAGGTTTTTGTGATGGTTTTGATTTAGGCAAAGCAGTTGAATTTCTAGATCAAATTAATTATAATTATTTAAAACGTTACCCTTGGACAAATTTCACGATGTATGGATGAACCAACTCTAACAAGATGTACTATGAAACTGTTAATTAAATGATGTATTTTTATCCCTTTTATACTCTAGAAAAAGAATTCATATTCGAGAAAGTGTTATATAAAAACTGGCAAACCATATTTCTAAAAAACTATTATATTTTTTTTGAGTTAGAATAGAGTGGAACTTACTTGTATTAACCTCTAACTTATCAGATGTTGTTTTTGCGATCCATTTTAATGTTAGTTTTTTTTAAATCCTTACAACTATGTTTGAAAAATGTGACAAAAGGAGTGACTAAAGAAATCAAAGGAACTAAAAATTTAATGTGGAAATGAACAACCAACAGTCAATCTAAGTTTAAATAAATATTATCAGTTTAAATAAAACATAGCCAATAAAACATTTACTTCATTTTACTTCAATTTTATTTCAGTTTTAAAATAGAAGTAAAATAAAAAAGAATATAACCCCAAATTTGATGTAATTGGTTAAGTTTTAAAGCTTATCCATGCTATTCTAGCATCGTTAAATATAGGTATGTAATCGCATAGTTCAAATCTCAGTAAATCTAAAGACAATATTAAAGCTACTTTTTCATCAATTGGTTTACTAAAAGGGGAGGTTTGACTGAAATTAGACACTAGATGCTAAATAATTTACTTGATATTAAAATTTAACTTACTTAATAGGATATTTTTTATAGTTTTACGCATTTTGAAGGAATGAGAAAAACCTTAAAAATAATTGAACTTTATAATTTGAATAAATTTAGTTTATTTGTTATTAAATTACTGTAAATCAGTATTTGTAGGAACTTTATTGTTCATGTTACTCGTTGTATTTTCGAACGTATTCAAAATTGCCTTTTTTTAAAATGTTTTATACATTTTTTCAGAGTTATGGATTAACTAATAAACAACTGTGTATTGACTGATTTTGCCCAACATCCTCTTGAGTTGAAATCTATAGACAAAATTTAATAAAAGAGAGTAGGTTACATTCAGATGTTATCGACGAAAACTCGTTGGAATTAAACGCGAGCTGTGACTCTATTGTTATAATTACAATTGAAAATTAAGTAGTTTCCAATGTTTTGCAGATAACTGAAATTATAATTATCATAGTAAAGTTTTGGTAAGATATAGTTATTATAATCTGAATTATAATGTTCTTATAGTGTCCTATTGTTACTACAATTCTGAGAGGTTCGTTTGTGTAGTTTGTCGTATTCAATCTTGTAGTTTGTATTCTACCAAAGAAGTCGTATTGAACAACAAGAACATTGCTATTTTTAATTTGAAAAAGATAGTAACTATAAGAAACAACAACCATATGTAGAGATTAATTTATAGTGTAATATTTTTTTGTCGACAATTTAAATACTTGTGGCTAACAAGCGCCTCTTTATAATTTTCCAAATACGCATAGGAAAGCTTGATCCTAACTTGTAGCCTTTCAACAAAAAGTTAATAAAGTTTTTATCATACTAAAATTGTCATTTTGTAATTTTGCTAAACACTAGTGACAGGCGTCCATGTGAGAATTCGAAACAAGAACAAGGGACAATCTTTCTTAAAAAATACTATGTTACTTTAATTTTAATATACTGACGTACTCGATGCAGTGTTAGCATTTAAAAATTAAAATATCTAAATCTATAAATTTGTATGATCAACAATGACAAATTAATTTCTAGGTAAGTAATAAAAATAATTGTTTTGCAAAGAACTTTTTTCGTATATTACAATAAATAACTAATAAACTAACATTTGCAATTGTTGTTTAACAATTTTTGAGGTTTTAATGGTAGTAGGCGGGCGCGTGGGCAGTGTAGACTGGGGTCTTGATGATGGCGGGAGCGGCTGTGGGCGCGGTGTTGTGCACGACAGCGTTGAAGCCGCTGTGGTCATCAGCGGAGTACTCCACAGTCCTGATGGAACCATCAGCCTCGTGGAAAGAGTAAGAGCCCTTCACAACATCGCCGTCGCGGGATTCCTGCTGGGACTTGTTGTCTCCGGTGTGACCGTCAGCAACCGAGTAAGTGAAGTCGTATTTAGGGTAAGCCTGGAAATATGAACATTAATTTTATTAATTATTTAAATACGAGTATATAGAGTTTAGGCAAGATATTGCTTCGGCTCTCCTAGATATAATCATGTGATAATCTTTTGTAGGTAAATGTGGGAAGAAAATTAGGGCAACTTACAATTTCCTCGGGCTGTGCAAGCACTTTGGCGACAGGGGCAGCGTAGTGGACAGGGGCGGCGTGGTATACAGCGGGGGCGGGGGCGTGGTACACGGCGGGGGCGGGGGCATGGTACACTGCGGGAGCAGCGTGGTACACGGCAGGGGCGGCGACGGCCAGCTTGGCGACGGGCGCGGCGGCTACCAGCTTGGTGGCGAGAGCGGGCTGGTCATGGCGCACGATGCTCTGGGAGGAGACGGCTGAGGCGGGGGAGTAGTGCACGGCTGCCGGCAGGAGTCCCGCCTGGGACACCGCCACAATAGCGCAGAAAGTAACGATCTAAAAAATTATTCACATTAGAAAACATTAAAATTATTAGAATAAAAATTATGAATTGCGTGTAATTTTTAAATGCTAGGCTTATTTAATAAGGGTGAAATGTAGTAACTTACTTTGGAGAACATTTTATTGTCTTATTTGAATTCAGAATGATTAATTAAAGTATAGTTCGGCGTTTATATACTCGGTTGGCACCTTCAATAGTTTCTAGCTAATCTGAAACCAGTTCAATGTCCTCGCCGCAGGCTGATTTTGACAAATGTATGCACATAGGTCAAAGTGTTACACTATAAATTGTGTTCTGTGCTTTAAGGCTACGATAGTTCATGTTAATTATTGTTAACTAGCTGTAGCCCGCGACCAAAAACAAAAAACTGCTTATCTCTCGGGAACTTGACAATTTTTATGGATGAATCGACATAAAGGGATGATTAATTCCATGTGTTATGTCCAGGCTTTGTATTATACGTGAACCAAATTTCAATAAGTTATGTTAAACCTTACTTATGATATACGAACCTTAATTATGACCGGGATCAAAATAGCATATGTATTCTTCCAGACTATCCTCTATATCTCTGCCAAATTTCTTCAAGATCCGTTCAGCAATTTAAGCTAAAAACCCTAACAAACATCTACCCAATCAATTTTATCTACCCATTATTTTTTCACATCTCATCTTATTAAAATTATAAATGCGAAAGTTTAGATAGATGGATGTTTGTTAGAATTTGTAAATGACTTCATAGATTTTGTCTAGTGAGATTTGATTGATACTTTTCCCGGAAATCCGTTTTATGGATTCAATTGGTCTAACAAGAAAATAAAACCTTTTAGATCAATAGATCGGTGGAGCGATTGACCCAACGGGAAACATCCGAGCCGTTCGGTCCTACAGATATTCTACATTTAACAACAAAAATGACGTATTTAAGCTTCAATGTCCTAACCAAAATGTTTTTAACTGTACATTCTTTTAAATGAAAGGTTTACATTCCTTTGTATACAGTTTCGGTCCAATGAATGAATAAATTAAGAATTTCTATTCAACTGTATTATATTTTACTAGCTTCCGCCCGTGACTTCGTCCACGTTGTATTAAAAAATAAAAATAAGTAGTCTATTGTTCTTCCAGACTATCCTCTACATCTATGTCAAATTTCATCGAGATTCGTCCTGCAGTTTATGCTACAAACTCTTGCTCTATCCATCGATTTTAACTTTCGCATTTATAATATTAGCAAGATTACTACTTAAACAAATTTTTCTTAAGATTATCGAATATTAAAAAAACTATGTTTATTATATTATACACAGATTTACCGTTTTTTTTTTATTATTTTTGGACGTAGTTTTACTGTGGCGTCACATTTCGATGTCTTTTTAGAAAGACGATGTCATAAAGTTAACATTTATTCTTCACTAGTATTTCTAACGTCTGGTGGTTATGAGATGATGAGATGTGTAGGTCATGGCTTAATCGCACCATTTATGACAATTTTACAGTATATAGTAATTACCGGCTTCAATAAAACAACCAAGTGTGGATAAAAATGATCAGGAATAATAGGTAGAATAGGAAGAGCGTCGGTCGCTAAGTGGTTTAAGCTCTTGACTTGTAATCTACAGGTCTTGGGTTCAAATCCCGCCATGTACCAATGTAATTTTCGATTTTTTCGAATTTTCATATGTAGATAATTTATCCGACGTTCTTACGGTGATGGAAAACATCGTGATGCAACCTACATACATCGGCGAAGAAATTCTAAAATATATGTGAAGTCACCCAAACCGCAGTGGGCTAGCGTGGTGGACTAAGGCTTAGTTACCCTATCTTAGGGTAGGCTCCGAGCCTCTCAGTGGGGACGTACAGTGAGCTCACTGGTAATGATAATGAATAGGTAGAATGGTTTTCTAACTTGATGCCTCTTACTGCTGCCACAAAATGCAAAAGTGCTCATGTTATGTGAACTGTCTGGCACATTTTTGACGTCATGTAACTGGTACGTTATAACATAGCGAGTTTTACCTCTCTCAGTTACTACATACTTTTTAATACTTTGGCATAAACTGACTTCTGTTTGTAGTATTAAAGATAGGAATAAGATGCGATGAAAATGTTAAAAAAAAAATCACTATTTTGCAATGAACTTTTTTCGTATATAACAATAAATAACTAATAAACTAACATTTGCAATTATTGTTTAACAATTTTTTAAGGTTTTAATGGTAGTAGGCGGGCGCGTGGGCAGTGTAGACTGGGGTCTTAATGATGGCGGGAGCGGCTGTGGGCGCGGTGTTGTGCACGACAGCGTTGAAGCCGCTGTGGTCGTCAGCGGAGTACTCCACAGTCCTGATGGAACCATCGGCCTCGTGGAAAGAGTAAGAGCCCTTCACAACATCACCGTCGCGGGATTCCTGCTGGGACTTGTTGTCTCCGGTGTGACCGTCAGCGACCGAGTAAGTGAAGTCGTATTTAGGGTAAGCCTGGAAATATGAACATTATTTTTTTTAATTATTTAAATACTCAGAGTTTAGGCAAAATATTGCATCGGGTTTCCTAAATGTTCACAATGTAAGTATGTCAAAATTTTTTTTGTAGGTAAATGTGGGTAGAAATGAAATATGAGGGAAACTTACAATTTCCTCGGGCTGTGCAAGCACTTTGGCGACGGGGGCAGCGTAGTGGACAGGGGCGGCGTGGTATACAGCGGGGGCGGGGGCGTGGTACACGGCGGGGGCGGGGGTGTGATACACTGCAGGGGCAGCGTGGTACACAGCGGGGGCGGCAACGGCCAGCTTGGCGACTGGCGCGGCGGCTACCAGCTTGGTGGCGAGAGCGGGTTGGTCATGGCGCACAATGCTCTGGGAGGAGACGGCCGCAGCGGATGAGTAGTGCACTGCTGCCGGCAGGAGTCCCGCTTGGGACACCGCCACAACGGCGCACAAAGTCAGGATCTGCAAAATAATTTTCGTTTATATTAGCACTTAACGTTTTGAAACATATCTTGGAATTATCGACATAGTTTTATTAATATATCGACTTACTTTGGAGAACATTTTGCTTTGTTGTTTCTTAATAGAATGATAAATTACAAAAATTGTTCGACTGTTATATACCCAACTGTCTCCTTCAGTGATTAATATCTGATATAAGAACCAGTTCAGTGACCTCGCCTCAGGTAATTTTGCTAATCATACATGCCTAAATAATCACTTTCTAAATCTGAATCATGCGAAAGCTCTCTTTGTTAAAAAACGATAATTTTTAATGCTGATAGATATTTTTAGGCCGTTAGTTTGGGATAGCACGTTTACAGTTGTTTTCATCATTTTAAAAATTGAATTTTCTGATAATACTACCAGAGTAACACATGAATATTATCTGTAGATATTGTATATTGTTGTAACAATGATTGTGCATTTTCATCAACATTATCATTATTAACTTAAGGTCGTCTACTGCTGAACATAGTCCTCCCCGATTGCCAGGATGTCCCCTCCTACACTGCCCGCATTCAGTGCACTCCCGCAACCTTGACCAGGTCGTCTTTCAAGAATATTACCTACACTGCGACGATCTATCCGTGGCCGCCACTCCAGTACTCTTCGGCACCATCGACTGTCTGTTCTGTTGTGCATTTTATTTGGATCTTATTCTGAATTAAATTTGTTCCTACCAATTGTATGTTTTGATTATTCGTTTTCTTCTTATAATTAATATAGATTAACTCCGTAGTAGCTACACATGAGTTCCCAAGAAATTCCTTTAAACTAGATAATTACTGTTTCTGTAAAGTTTCGTAGTCTAAATATCGCGGTTTCCCTCAAAAATTGTCAACAGTTTAAAAATAGACTTGCCTTTTATTTCTTGTCAAACGTAAAGTAATTTTCGTACTAAGCCTCATGGATAAAAAAAAATAGTGTCTTGATCTTTATGGCATCGACAAATTTTGCACCAAACATCAAGTGATTGCTGCAGGAACAGATATATTTAATTTAATAGAACAATTTGCAAACGTTCCTTCACAAATAGAAAACAATAGAAAAAAAATTTGCATCCTTCATATATCTCCACTCATATCTTGAAAAACGGAAGTAGTCAAGAATTGCGTCCAAAAACGTATTTTTTCATCGTACTGTGTGGCATTTTATTTCTTGTTTACAGTCGTATTGACTTATTAAGTGAGTAGCGTATGTGTTCTTCAAGACTATCCTCCACATCTCATTCCAAATTTCATCGAAATCCGTTTAGCCGTTTAGGCTACAAACTCTAACAAACCTCTATGCATCCATTAATCCCTATAAACTTGGGCCAACGCCCATGGACACGACTAGGTTAATTTTTCGAATTATAAAAGTAAATGTAAAAAATACCCAATTGCTATTCTTATTAAAACGTATGGCTGCTCATATATTTAAACAATCAAAGGATATTTACTTTGTTTTTATTTAGCTTAATTTATTTTATACTAGCTTTCGCTCGGGACTTTGTCTGCTTAGAATTAAATAACAAAAGTAAGTATCTTATGTGTTCTTCCTGAATTTCCTCTACATCTATGCCAAATTTCATCGAGATCCGTTCCGCCTTTTAGGCTGCAAACTCTAACAAACCCTTATCCATCCATCCATCTAAACTTTCACATTTATGATATTAGTAAGATTTATTTTTATAAATTTTCTATTTAATTAGAATTTCTTTATATTATAATTTTTAAGGAAAATAGATTGAGATAAAAGGAAAAAGAAGTTTGAAGCTAATTCGTATATTTAAAAATAAATTATTAATCTTCTACATCATTGGTATACGTGGTTTTAATGATCTTAGTGCTTGTAGTAGATAGGTGCTGACGCGTAAACGGGAGCCTTGATGAGAGCGGGAGCGGCCTTGGGGGCGCTGTTGTGCACGACCGCGTTGAAACCGTTGTGGTCATCGGCAGTGTACTCCACAGTTCTGATAGAACCGTCGGCCTCTTGCAGAGAGTAAGAGCCCTTTACAACATCGCCGTCACGGGATTCCTGCTGGGACTTGTTGTCTCCGGTGTGGCCGTCAGCGACAGAGTAAGTGAAGTCGTATTTAGGGTACGCCTGGAAATATTAAAGAATATTTTATATGAGTATTTTAAAAGTTTTGCATTAGATAAACTATTGATTTTTTACTCATTGGGATCCTTGATGATGATGTGTGATATTGTCAAGGTTTTTTACAAGTTAAATGAAGTGATAAATCAAATATGTAAACTTACAACTTCCTCAGGCTGTGCAAGTACTTTGGCGATGGGGGCAGTGTACTGAACGGGGGCGCGGTATACAGCGGGAGCAGGCGCATAAGCGACTGGGGCGGGCGCGTACGCGACAGGGGCAGGCGCGTGGTACACGGGGGCGGCGACAGCCAGCTTAGCTACAGGAGCAGCTACCAGCTTGGCGATACCATGGGGCTGGTCGTGACGCACAATGCTTTGCGAAGAGACAGCCTCGGCGGGAGAGTAGTGGACCGCAGCGGGGAGCAGACCAGCCTTGGCAACTGCGACTAAAGCGCACACAGCTACTAACTGGAAAAGGATATTGGATTAAGTGATGTATGACGATTAATTCAAGAATACAAAATATTTTTATGAATTTTGAATGATGTACTTACTTTAGCGAACATTTTTGTATGTTTAACTAACGGTTGCTATTTCAACTGATGATTTGCAATAGATTCCTTCATATTTTATAGTATATCTAAGCACTTATACTTACCAATAGAGGTGGAAGTTGTCAAACGAGCTCGGTGACCTTCCTCTGTTACAAATCTACCGGTCAATGTATCAAAGTATCGTCTTAGTAGATTAATGTTTGAATGATAGCATAATTAAGTTCATTTACCATAAATTAACGAAAATCATATCTATAATTTTCTTAATACTTAAAAAAAAAATAATTCAACTTTTTTACTAGTCCAAATAAATAATCACGGTTGTAAAATGTAGATAAGGACGCAATGTGAGACGCGAAACGACCGCGAAATAACCCCAGTAACACTTGCCCTGAAGAAGGGTCCCCGAAGGGCCCGAAACGGATCGGTGCCGCCATCGAAAAAATAGACGACAGTATTAGTAGTAAAGTAATTAATTACAAAAATGTCTCACGAAGGTTAAAAAAAAATTGGAGATAAGGACATTACTCGTATTCTAATCATAGTGTCTGTGAAATAAGAAAACCATATTACGAAATAAAGTAAACAGTATCATTATTATTAAATAAAATACCAGTTTTATATTAATTTCCTTATTATTGTTAAAGAGTTTCCTTTTGCTAGTCAAAGTTTAAACTGAATAGTGTAAACATAACAGTATTCTTAATGACATAGACTTGGAAACATAATTATCGTTTATATTCGACTGTAGTTGAACTGCATTGGATATAATTTGGTTTGTCTCTCAGCCGGCGTTATGAGATGAGTTGAATCAGATTTGTGAACATTGTGGTGACATGAGGGTAGCAATTTTGAAATATATCTGCTTTTTACAGGTGCATTGACGACGTTAAAGGCACGTGCTACGTTCAGATGTAGTCTATAAGGTCGTGCATGAACCAATTGAGGTTGTAGCATAGGTGTTTCTTTTTGATATAGAACTCTGTTTCGGTCGAAGCTGAAAAAAGCAATTATTATTACAACTGAAGTTGTTTATCGTAATAAAGTGTTATGGAAATTCTATCGCATCGATAGGAATTCCTAATTAAAAAACTCAATTTCCTCAAAATTTAAGAGTTTCATACTAATTTTTGACTGTGACTCGTTCGCTTATCTCTGTTGTTTTCATCATGTTGTTTATGTCATAAAACTAAAAGTTTCTTTATTGATTGTAATCAAGATATATCTTTACAACTTACCCTTTTCCATTATTATTGTATTGTTTGGAAAGCATAATATACTTTTTTACTGTCTGCTCTGGACCGTTTAATAATTCTTGGTTGCCTAGTTCAACTTCTATTGGCTCTTCTGTTGTTTTTTCTGATTTGTATTGGTACATAAATGGATTGCCTATGCTGACCTGCAAAAAAATACGATTTAACTGACAATCTAACTTTAATTTTAGTATTCAACCTGCTTATGTTAAGATCAGGATCTAGGAGATTATAATGATTAAATTTTAAGATTTGGGTTAAAACTAAACGTCTCGAAGTAAAACTTTCAATCGGTGCTTTTTTTAATGCAAAAACAAATTCTTAATGCAAAAAAAATATTTCATTGTGTAATAAGTACCCGATTTATGGTTCCTTTCGTTGTGAATTCCGAATTCTCTCTATTCACTTCATTGTTTTCTGGAAAAATCCTTTGTGGTTCTGCTATCTGGATATTGTGTCCATGTATTATAGATCCACGTGAGTTCTCCTGAGAATTGTTATCTTCAAGTCGCGGTTCTATATTATTTTTGCTTAATTCAAAGTTACTAAGAATAAAACCGGGAATAGTTGGATGCACTTGTAGTGCTTCTTTAATTTTATATTCATCAGCTTTGAGAAGTAATGGTGCGTATTGAATACTCGCGTAACCGTATTGATCTTGTTCTTGTTTACCGTTGGCGATGTTTTTCACTGTTGGCTCTAGTATATGTATAGGTACAAATTCTGGTGATGATGATGAATCCTTGTATAATTCGCGGTTATTATTAGGATTGGGCGCATCTTGATTATCATTTTGAATCGAAAACGCATGCATCGTATCGGATTTCATAATAGAAATTTCCACTACGAGTACCAATAGAATATTCTGGAAAGAAATGTTTTAATGCACTTTGTTACTGCTGAAGAAATCTAAATCTAATAATTTAATTAAAATTAAATAGTCAAGGTTTATTATTGTTTCTAAATAACACTTACTTTGACACGCATAATGCAGGTGTACTACATAAGTAGCGAGCGGTGAATTGAAAAAATGCAAATAAAAATTTCCCAAGCGCACTAAAAATCACAATCATGTATTTAAAAAATATTTATGTTAGCCCAATTAATCTGTGAAATATTTGACAATTGGTAATGTTAACTATTTTCACGAGCAAATGAAAGTGAACTGTCGCTGGGCACATTTGTTAACTAATAACATCTTCCAGAGAGATGCATGATGTAAGCTATTATTTCATTCTTATCTATTGTTTGTGAAGTGTTATTGAGAAATTAACACATCACGGATGCTACAAAGAACTTGTTTAATAACATCCATTGCTATAAACCTTATGACTATTTTAATGCCTATTTTAATTATGTTTAGGAATTAGAAATTACTCTACAATCGACTGAATGGATTTTGATGATATTTGGTATAGATATAGAGGATAGGCTGGAAGAACACATAGGCTACTTTGTTACTACACTTTTGTTTTTTTTTAATATCACGCGACGGAGTCCTGGGCAAAAGCTATTGATTTATAAATAAAGTTTTGATATACAAATTTATATTAAGTGTCCGCTTAGACGAGATAAAGATATAGGACATTATTTCTGTTGACTCAAAGCATTCAGCTTTGGTTCATTTCCACCATTTCTATTACAGGTTGATGATGATTGCACACTACTTGTACATTTGTATGCGTTGTTTACCCAAAAGCGATATTATCATTTAAAACAACCGTTGCACCTTTTACTTCTAAATCTCTTTGAATATGATTAAATAACTCACATCACCAATCCTACCATGATTTACATAGGAATTGTTAGGTGTTTTACCTGTACGTTTGTTATTATATATCACATATTTATTAAATAACCTCTTTATTGTGGTAAAAGTATCTGCTAATATAAAATAATAGTACTGATGTTATGTCTGTTAGCTAAGATAAACAGATCTTTACTTTACTTATTAATCCCATATATAACTTCATTAAACAAACTCTATTGTTAATATCTGAAACTAAATTTTGAAGATCGATCTAGAATATGGAAACTGGTGTGTCGATTCTACGTGAGAGGAATAAGGACAGAGAGATGATTGCGTGGATATAAGATATTTAACCAGATCTATGTAACAAATAAGAAAAGTAAATTTCGTTGCGAAAACTAATCTCTTTTAAATAAGTCAGTAAAAAAAGTTGTTGACACCCGGCGCGCAGCGTTCGTTCATATTTAGAGGCCAATGCCTGCGGCGTTTGGTTACGACTATGGTCCAAGTTTTAAGATTATTGCCTTGCATTGAATTAATTTTGTGTTCTTTACTGAGGATGGATATTGTTATAACTCTTTTTAGAGAACACCTACAAATAGTGCGTTGAAATAGATTTTTTATGTATTTTTGATATCGGTGTTTCATAAATTTGCGTTGTCGTTTAAGTATTTTCTTTAATAATTTACAGACGGCTACATGTAATTATAAATAAAATAAAATAAAAAACTTTGTAAATTAATAGGAAAGCAGAAGTATGTTTCGTAATAGAAAAATGGTAGACACTTTTTTTTTACAATATTGTTGTTTATTTCTTATGCCTTATACCACTTAATTAAGTTTACGATCTGAACGCGTGTTATGCAAAGAATATCGTAACGCCGACATGAACCGGTCAAATATGTGGCTCGTTATCCCTGACCTTAAATCTAGGCCATTTTTCGACTTACAATGCAACGTTCTATGGAATTGGACTCCTTAATTTATTAATACGCTTGATGTAAATTGTGTGGGCGGGATAATTCGAGCACTGCAGTCTGTTGAAATATTTACGTTGTGTAAATCATATAATCACAATTCTTAATTTTTAAATTGAATAAATGTCATGTTCAATTAATGGAATTGATTGTGGTAACATTTAAAATCAGAATGTAGTACATTTTTGTAATGTAGACATACAAAATATATGAAAGAAGTGGTGTCTTAAGCTAATTTAAACACATGTTATTTGTAAAGTGAAGAAATGTACAAGTATTTTCTTTTAAATATCAGTAGATTTTTCGTTAAGTTACTAATATTTCCTTTAACCATTCCAACTAAGCTCTAGTCTTGTGCCAGGATTTGGATTACGACAATAGTCGAATGCCGGGATTCAAATCCTCAACCTCAAGATCGGTAGTCCGCAAACCTTTAGGCTATTGGGGCTTTATTAAAAAAAAACTTGTTATCGCATCTTGTGATTCATCTTCATTCATTCAACTCAGTTCAGTGACTTTTGACCGACCGTGACAGATGATGCGCTAAAAATATACGCTCTTTAGCATTTCTGGTTTCATTCATAACTACTCGATCGTTTTTTTATACGCTGCGTACACATCCATCGACACGTGCTACTTTTACAAAGGATGGACTTAAAACCTAACCTGTAAAACTTGTATTTCAACAATTTACCTTAGTTCTCTGAAATAACTAATAACTTTTTCATATTTAACGATAGTTTCAATTATAACATAATTAGATTTTACCAGTGACTCCGTCCACGTGGAATTTAAAAAAAAATAATAATAAGTACCCTATGGGTTGTTCCAGAATATCCTCAACATCTATACCAAATTTCATAGAAATCCGTTCAGCCGCTTAGGCTGTAAACTCTAACAAACATCCATTCATATAAACTTTCGCATTTATGATATTAGTATGATAATATTGATATATTAAAAAAATATTGTGACATTACGCGTCGGCCTTGTACTACATAACCATGATATATATAAGTGAAGATTAATACAGTAAACATCTAATCCGATCGGGGAATCTGGTGGCTCACATCGTTATTAGAAACAATTTGTATCTTATAATAATCCGTTATGTAGTCCTTTTTGATACTGTACGCTGTACACTAAAGCTATCCTTTAGTGTAGATTTATCTTGTCAATTCTTCTCTAAGGGATTCCACTAGTTGTCAATAAATGATTTTGTCAATCATCAGACATGTTTCCGATTTCGTGCAATTGAAAATGCGATCTAACAAAAATGTGCCTTTAATGTTTGGCTTTCAGACAGAACGACAGAAGTCATCGTTATTGTAAAAAATAATCGAATCCAAGTTGAAATAACCGTTTTATCTTAAATATATACTATACTACCCTCATCCTATGAATTACATCTGACGGTATTGACCTATGCCGATCACTGCCTTTCGCCCAAACACAAATAATATGAAAATTCTAATATAAAGATTGTCGAAGTTCCAAAATGTAGTAAAACAAACAACGAACTAAATTAATAAGGATGGCAATGGAAACGTTACTATGGCAGAATTGTCTTGAAGACAATGGTAAATAAAGAAGTTAGTACAATTGTGTTATGTACTATGTCTATGTTTAGAAGTAGCAATATAACAGGAAGCGATTGACTAGTAAATAAAAATAGGAACTCAGAATAAACAAAACATTCTAGTGAGGACGATAACAATTATAACAATAAAAAAATTAATTCTTCGATTGTCTCTTCTTGGATTTTGTATTTGTTTACTGTAAAGCTTATGTTGTGTCTTGCGAGTTGGAAAAAAATGCTGATTTTCTTAAAGAATATAATAAGTTTAAGCAATTAAGGAAAGACAGTTTGATATTAATTTAAAATATGCTTTAACATTTTTGTATATTCTCTTTATTAATTTACTTATACTTAACACTTATATATTTGACCATTTAACGAGTGACTAGAAGGAACTTAATGATGGGCGATGATGTGTTGAGGCGCGTGTGCGGGGGCGGCGTGGTGCGCAGGAGCGGAGTTGGTAACGACCGCGTTGAAGCCGCTGTGGTCGTCGGCGGTGTACTGCACGGTGCGCACGGAGCCGTCAGCCTCCAGCAGAGAGTACTGGCCGTGCACGGCGTCGCCGTCGCGGCTCTCCTGTTGCGACTTATTGTCGCCGGTGTGTCCGTCAGCCACGGAGTACGCGAAGTCGTATCTTGGATGAGCCTGGAAATATAAGCAATACAGTTTATAGATTCAACCATATTATGTTTGATGTTCGGCTCTGATTTGATAAGTATGATATAAGTAAATATTAAGTTACATTTAAAACTAGACTACATAAATAAAATGTAATACTTAAAGACTTACGTATTCTTCTACGTGCTGAGCAGCTGCTATGATGCCGTGGCTAGGAGCCGCGTAATGAGATGGGGCGGCGACAGCGTAAGAAACGGGGGAGATAGCTGCCACGCCATGAGGTTGGTCATGACGCAGAATCGTTTGAGAGGAAACACCGTGGATAGATGCGTGTTGAATGGGGTTTGATCGAAGTCCGTAGGATGAAGAGTAGAGTGCGGAGGGTGAAGAATAAGTCGCTGGGGCAATAGCGATAGAGGAGATGCCTTGATTATGACGTACAATATTTTGAGAAGAAACTGCATGACCACCGGTGTAGCGGGCTTGCGACGCGTAGGTTGCAGGAGCAGCATAATTAATGTGAGTGGCTGCGTAAGAAGGAACAGCGGCGTAAGCAGGAGTGGCATATGAAACTGGCGCCGCGGCAACGGCGAGTCTAGGTTGATCATGACGCAAAATTGTCTGGGAGGATGTAGCATGACCAGCAGAAATTCGAAGAGGAGACGCGTTGTAAGATATGGGGCTAGCATAATTGTTATGGGAAGCTGCGTAGTACGATGGTGCAGCAGCGTAAGAAATAGGTGCTGCAGCTAAAGCGACTCGAGGTTGATTATGACGTAGGATAGTTTGGGAAGACACAGCGTGGCCTGCAGATACGCGAGCTGGGTATGTTTGATAAGAAACAGGAGCGGCGTAATTTATGTGCGAAGCTGCATAATGTGCCGGGGCTGAGGTGTAGGCAAGAGGTGCAGCTGCGAGGGCGACATGAGGTTGGTCATGACGTAAAATGCTTTGAGAAGACACAGCACTTGTGGCAATATGTGCAGGGGTGGCATGGTAAGCTACCGGCGCTGCGCTGTACGCGATTGGAGCGGAGTGAATGGCAACAGGTGCTGCGTGGATGGTCTGGTGCTGGTCGTGGCGTACGATGCTCTGCGACGAGACTGCTGCGGCCGATGAGAAATGCGGCTGAGCAATGAGCCCAGCGGACGCTATGGCCGTTAAGGCGCTCAGAACTAATACCTGAAACAATGATTATGTTTATTATAAGTAAATATGAACATATAAGAAGATAATTATTTTTTTTTATTTTTAAGTAAGTACGGTAACATATCAGAAGCTTACTTTAGTTAACATGTTTTTGTGTGTTCCGCCGGTACTGATGCAGTTGTCCTGTAAAAAGGCGCTTTTATATAAATTGTGTTTCACAATACAAGGTCGTCGAGTACTTAATTTAGTCGTATTTTCTGTGAACTTAATAGTTTCATCTTACATAATAATCATGTTTAAAAATAAGTGAAAGGTAATTAATAAAAAAAGCCCTGCGTTAAAACTGATAGATTTACGCAAGCTGTTATTACTCCTGTTCAGATAAAGCAAAAGCTTTAGGTAATTTAAATTGATTCTTCCCAATTCTTGCATTTTTTACGTTGTGCAGATACCTAAGTGTAATTTCGGACATACACAGTTTGCGGAAATCAGTTTTTTACTGGTAAAAACATCCGTACATTATTAGCAATACCTAAATTCAACTTTCGTAAAAAAATATTTCTTTGTACATTAATGAAAATTAGAATAAATTATTGGCAAGGAAAAATATCAAGAAAGTTAAGTTTATAAATTGTATTTTTTATTATCACCTAAAGTTTTGTGAATATATGGTCGAAGGATGGTAAGCGCTACCCTAGTATGTGCTGCTCCAGCTCTTGAAGGCGCATTATAAATGGACGGAAACGTTGATGCCGGCAACATACTTCATTCTTTTGCATTGCGCACGAAAAATGATGTTTGAAATTCGTTCATTTTTAATGGGTGTTTTGGGTTAGCTCGATCGGCTTCCGATTACTATTGATTCGATTTTCCCAATGGCAAAAACCCAAATCAATCATTGTACGATAGGTCCAACGGGAAGCAACCCTTTTGATTGAGTTCCTATATTTTTATTTCAATCGTGTAGATATACAACATTATTCATTTAAGAGTTATTTTGGTAAGTCTCTTTACTTATTTTTATTTGTTAAGATGTTTTATTTGACTTTACCCTACACAAAAATGCTTAATGACTGATCTTAAACGGTATTAACTTTTTTAAAATAATAGGTAGTTCGTGATTTATTCAGTTAAATTGTACGATAGAATTAAGATTGCAGATAAGATAAGTAGACTGTTATTTAAATTTTATTCGAAGTTCAACAATCAAAATAAAAATGTGAAGGGAGAAATAAAGCCGGAGTGGCCGCGAATGCAGTTATGTCAGTTGGTCAATGACATTAAAAAAGTTTTGCGGATTTCTTACATAGATTTTTTATAGCTTTAGAAAATTGGTAATTGAAAGAGGCTATATTTTAAGTACATATTTTATATTTGATTGGATTTAACCTTTGACCATCTAGACGTAAGGTTTAAAATGTCTTTTCTATTAATGGAATTTAAAACAAATCCGATTTTTTGTGTTTCTGTAATTCGTAACCGTACTACTATAGGTAGAATAAAATTGGTATATCGTATTTTAAACTAATCAAAGAAATTATAATCCTAGGTATTCGTAAATTAAATATACTTAAACAAGTTATCGACGATTCTCAAATTTATGTCTTCGTTGGGACTCCGTCCGGGAATTAAAAGAAATGAAAGTACGTAGCCTATGTGTTCTTCCAGACTATCCTCTACATCTATGCCAAATTTCATCGAGATCCATTCATCCGTTTAGGGTGCAAACTCGAACAAACATTCAACCATCAAACTTTCGCATTTATCATATTAAGTAAGATAAGATTAGTCCCTTCGTCTAAGACAGATGTATTCCAAAGGATTCATCTCTGAAGATGAAATTGAAGACATCATTACAATCTATTAATCAGTAATAAATAAAAACCATTGTTTATTTCTTGTTTCATTGCATAGTTTCAATTGTTATAAATGTTTTTTTTTTTACTTTATCTTAGTTAAACGTTGCCCTGAAGTAATTATCATTTAACACAATTTTTGTTAGGGACAATAATTTACTCAGTGAGAAATTATAACGTAAATTATTAGCTAATCAACAAATGGCGAATTAAATACACTTGATCCGCGCAGACTAACTTTGCAAGTAGAAAAATGTAATATTTTTCGCATTGGCCTTCAAATGCTGTTTACAGAAACATTTTCAAAAATTAATAATGATGCGGTAGAATGACTAAATTTATACACATCAATTGCTTTCATTATCATTTATTGAAGACTAAAATATTACACATTTTTAAATAATTTACTATCACTAGATTCGGTTTTTGACAATGTTTAATGATGGGCGAGGATTGCGTGTGCAGGGGCGGCGTGGTGCGCGGGAGCGGAGTTGGTCACGACCGCGTTGAAGCCGCTGTGGTCGTCGGCGGTGTACTGCACGGTGCGCACGGAGCCGTCAGCCTCCAGCAGAGAGTACTGGCCGTGCACGGCGTCGCCGTCGCGGCTCTCCTGCTGAGACTTATTGTCGCCGGTGTGTCCGTCAGCCACGGAGTAGGAGAAGTCGTATCTGGGGTGCGCCTGTTACAAAAATAATATTAGTCCTTAAGAATACTAGTTACGTCGTGGTTAGATGTTTAGGTTTGGTTTAAAAAACGTACGTATTCGTCTTGGTGCGCGGCGATGATCCTAGCAGCGGGGGCAGCGTGGCTGATGAGTGGTGCCGAGTAGTGAGCGGGCGCGGCGGCGTACGCTAGGGGAGCGATGCCGTAAGAGGCACGCGGCTGATCGTGACGCAGGATGGTCTGAGAGGAGACAGCATGTCCGGCAGAGATACGGGCGGGGGCTGCATAGGTAGCGATGGGAGCGGCTTGGTAGGCGAGGGGAGCGGCGTGGATGGCGACGGGAGCGGCGTGGATGGCGTGAGGCTGGTCGTGGCGCACGATGCTCTGGGAGGAGACGGCTGCAGCTGAGGAGTAGTGAGCCTGGGGCAAGAGACCCGCCGCAGACACCGCCAGTACGGCGCTCAAAGCCAGGATCTGTAACAATCGTAATAATTAATATTTATATAACGTTCTTTATTATTTTTTACTATCATATTTTGTGTCACTCACTTTGGAGAACATTTTGTAAATGTTGCGATACAAGTACTGATATATCTTTCGGCGATACGGCTCGCTTTTATATTGATCGAGATTTACTTATGACGAGGTCAGCAGGTCGGAAAGTAGTTTTGCATACTCTTTTCACCCATAAAAATATTGCCTAAAATGTTCATATTATATTGTTTAAGCTCTTTAAGAGTACAAGAATACAATTAGACATACTTACTTTAAAAACAATTTATAAAGTATTAGCTTTTGTCCACCACTCCGTCCGCGAGGGATTAAAACAAAAGTAAACAGAATATGTGTTCTTCCAGATTATGCTCTACATCTATTCCAAATTTCATCGAGACCTAGTTACTTGGAGTTTAGGCTATAAACTCTAATAAATATCCATCTATCAATTTCTTTTGATCAATTTAGCATTTAAAGCCATACACCAAAATATTCAGTACACAAATCGACTCTTACAAAAAGTATTGAGTGTAGGTTTCATTTTATAACATTCATGAATGTAACGTGTTCATAAATACTCGTAAATTTCGTTGCCAAAAAATTTAATTTCTTGCGTCTGTATTAAAATTATAAAGAGGAAATCTTTGTAAATCTGTATGTATTGAAATAACTCTAAAACTACTGGACCGATTTTAAAATTTCTTCCAAATTATAAAGGTAATTTATATTTGAATATTATAGGCTATATTTTGTTTATTGTTTTTAATTACACGCGGACGAAGTCGCGAGCAACAGCTAGTAAAATATAATTTAGTTAACGGTTTAAAAATAATTAGCTACAGTATACACGAAGATAGTACAGTCTGAACATTGCTGAATTTTTGACAAAATATTAAAGGGTCTATCGCAAATATTTTTGTAACGATCGAGAACGCATTCGTAACTATATTGATAATAGTTATAAGAGATTTGTCGGTGTACTTTACATACGGTGGAACGAATCACAAATAAAAATGTTGTCGATGACGTTACGAAAATCTTTTATGAATATCGTGATAAGCTCTCTAACAATTTAATGTAATAGTAAATACGAGTTTGCTTCATTAATTTGTTTCGACATTTATATCAATTACGACGTTGTAATTTAGACAGGATATGTTTAGGCAAAAACGGAAATTAATAACTTTCAATATCTTTTTTTCCGATAATAACGCTTAGAAGATTGTAAAATATTTCTCTTGTAATTAATGATTAAAGCAGTACATATAGAAAAAATGTATATGATAGTTTGGTACTGGTACTAGCCCATGCACTCGTACCTTGTAAGTTTGTTCTGACTCTCGATATACCTAGTATAGACGGTAATAATTTACACCTCAAGAATGCGTTCAATTCTTTGTCCTAAGTATAATAAACAAGCTGTTGTTCGCGACTTCGACCGCGTGAAATTAAAAAGAATATACACAGTATAGCCTATATTACTAACACATAAATTACCTTTCTAACTTTGAAATAATTTTTAAAATCGGTCCAGTAGTTAAGTTATTTCAATTCATACAAAAATACAAATCTTTCCTCTTTATAATATTAGTATAGATATAGACAAGTATAGATAACGGAAGAGAAAATAACTTTTCGCAAAGTATATGTTTGTCGTATATCTATAAGTAAAAGATGATGGTAGACTAGGCCGGCAATATGATTATTACCAAGTGTATTACACATTATTTCGCAGTGATTGTCAAAAGGTAGTTGTGGGCAGCAACGAAGTTCGTAAACTTTACAACTACATATTTTTTCTCCATTAAAAAAAATTAAGCAATGTTGTCGACATTGTTTTTTTAAGGTTAAAAATACTGCTTCGCCTATAGTCGCTTCTTATTATTAGTTTCTGCTGGACTGTCAATATCATAGTAAATGCCACACTTTTAAAATATCAATATATGACCATGCATTGATCTGTCAAAATTTTAATGTAGTAAACGTAGCTAACTTATTTTCTTTAAAATGTATGATCATTGCGGTAGGTTGCTCGATTTGTCATTTTTATGTATACGTAACTACTGCAAAATATTAAATATTTCATCCCAATAAAATATTAAGTTTGAGTTATAATGTTGACCCTGAATCGAAGTACGTTTAGGAAATTTCAAGAAAAATAAAATATATCAGTAGCTTTCACATTTTATTGAAATTTAAAGATTGTATATTCAAATAAATTAATTATCACATAGGGGAAGTTTAGGTATTTTAAGGTTTAATGATGAGCGAGGATAGCGTGTGCGGGGGCGGCGTGGTGCGCGGGAGCGGAGTTGGAGACGACCGCGTTGAAACCGCTGTGGTCATCGGCGGTGTATTGCACGGTGCGCACGGAGCCGTCAGCCTCCAGCAGAGAGTACTGGCCGTGTACGGCGTCGCCGTCGCGGCTCTCCTGCTGAGACTTGTTGTCGCCGGTGTGTCCGTCAGCCACGGAGTAGGAGAAGTCGTATCTGGGGTGAGCCTGTTACAATAATAACAATAGTCATTAAGAATACTAGTTACGTCGTGGTTAGTGGTTAGGTGTTTAGGTTAGGTTTATAAAACGTACGTATTCGTCTTGGTGCGCGGCGATGATTCTGGCAGCGGGGGCGGCGTGGCTGATGAGTGGTGCCGAGTAGTGAGCGGGCGCGGCATACGCTAGGGGAGCGATGCCGTAGGCGGCACGTGGCTGCTCGTGACGCAGGATGGTCTGAGAGGAGACAGCATGTCCGGCGGAGATACGGGCGGGGGCAGCGTAGGTAGCGATGGGAGCAGCTTGGTAGGCGAGGGGAGCGGCATGGATGGCGACGGGAGCGGCGTGGATGGCTTGGGGCTGGTCGTGACGCACGATGCTCTGTGAGGAGACAGCGGCGGCTGAGGAGTAGTGAGCCTGGGGCAAGAGTCCCGCCGCGGTTACGGCCAGCACAGCGCTGAGAGCCAAGATCTGTAAAACATTGTTTTTTAAACTCAGTTTTCTTACATGGTCATGTTGTCGTACAGGGCTTTATACGTTTATTCTTTTAAATATTCTTTTCCCTTTATCTTTGCTAAGTGCCTTCTGTGTCCACGTCTTTAATAGTTTTACTTAAAAAAATTAAACAAAAGGTTAAATGTTTAGTTATATTGGATCAATAATTCAACTACATCAGGTTTTTACTTGATTTTAATAAATTAATTTAAAATATAATTTTAGGTTTAAAACCTAATGAAATGAAAAGTTTCCTAAACATTATTACTCAAAGGAAAGTCTTTAAATTAAACTTACTTTGGAGAACATTGTTTTACCGGATGTAATAATCAAGTGATAAAGCTTACGGTAGTCACAGAGCTTTTATAGTGGCTGAATTTCGGCGCTGACAAGGTCATCAGGTTAAAAGTTACCTGAGCTTGATTTACTTTTCATATATGGTGTAATATTGTGATATAAAATGTTAAATTAAAATACACTTTTACTATTGTTCTAAAATTTTATTGTATAATTTATTACTTTTTATTGCACTAAATGCTTTCCTGCTCAGTTATTCTTTTTAAGTTCAATGATTGTATCGCACTGTTTCTGTTAATAGATCATTGACTCTTTCCTAATATTAGATAATTACAGATTTTGTGCTGAAATTTTGAGTTTGGTCGCTGTAATGTTGCTAATTTTTGTTTATACAGTTTCCATCTAAATCAGGCATATGTCAAGTAGATAAATATTTATTAATTAGTGAAAAGATTTATTATATATTGCACCTAATTTTAAGAACATAAACCCTATCTGGCGTCTTCGAAATATCGTAGGAAATATTTGTAAAAGAATACTTAATTTACATGGAAAGTCAAGCAATTTAAAAATGAATCAATGTAATTTAAGAATAATTATCATTGAAGAGAGAATTTGTAACATTTATTTTTAAGAATACATTATTTTCATCTTTAAATAAGGATTATTTGGAATTATGGACAATGATTCAAAGTCTGTTATTTGATTTAATGATCTACAGTATTTTGTTTACTAGTAGAAAACTTTACTATCTTTTTCTTCTGTTCGTTAAGTCAACGCTTGACCACGATCCCAGCTGATGTTAAGTGATGATGTGGTCGGAAGATGGTAATCGGTAGCTTAATAAATACTTATTTACACTACTATCAAAGTCCCAAACGTCAGATTAGGACGGAAAACCTATAATCTTGTATTATGTTACAGTAATAAAATCTAAAAAGTCATGAATATAGCTCTCTGGAGTTTGTTATATAGGCTAACTGTTGACTTAGTAGCTTCACTTGTCGTTTATATGTCAATTTTTTATTTCTTATTTAAGAAATTATATTTATAATGTTTCTTAAAAACCATTTTTAATTAAAAAAGTGGAAAGTGAGTTCATCCCTAATTTCCAATTAAACGATTAAAAATTATTCTAACTGTTAAAAATAATTCATTGCGAATTTATTGTAGTTTATACAGAAAAGTACATTAAACGAGCTTTTGACTTAATTTTTAAAATGACCTATAACATTATAAATTATAAAATTACACTGCTATTGGCAATTACATATGGTGCTCGTAGCTGTTGAGATTTTTCGTTGTCGATTATTGTTCTTTGTTCCGTTTCTTTGTATATTTTATACATGTATAAAACGAAATCATAATTACTATTACTACAAACAGAATAGTAGATGTCATCTTGAATGACCAATTAACATTTTGTAACGCTGGCGAGATGCTAATAACTCTTAACTAGATATTTAAATAAACCATTTGTTTCCATTATCGATCCCTCATAAAAACATTGCATTTGTGATAATTGTTATTAAAGTGCATTTATACACAGTGGCTGTTGCTAGCTTTCTTTGCAGCTAAAAGCTGACGGACGCTTGAATAACATTATCCTGGGTCTGTCCCGAGTCTCTCGTGTCCGTTTGTTTGTGTTATGAATACGGTTTGTACATATATATTTACTTAAATTCCATCGCAAACTCCTGGAGCTTAAACTATTCAACAGTGTTCTCATAAAGAAAATGATTATTTTATTTTAATTATATCTTTAATTGAAATCTAAAATCATATTTAAATAATTTAATTATCACAATGAGGCAGACTAGTTATTGACAATGTTTAGTGATGAGCGAGGACGGCATGTGCGGGGGCGGCGTGGTGGGCGGGAGCGGAGTTGGAGACGACCGCGTTGAAGCCGCTGTGGTCGTCGGCGGTGTACTGCACGGTGCGCACGGAGCCGTCAGCTTCCAACAGAGAGTACTGGCCGTGCACGGCGTCGCCGTCGCGGCTCTCCTGCTGAGACTTGTTGTCGCCGGTGTGTCCGTCAGCCACGGAGTAGGAGAAGTCGTATCTGGGGTGAGCCTGTTACAATAATAACAATAGTCATTACGAATACTAATTACGTCGTGGTTAATGGTTAGGTGTTTAGGTTAGGTTTATATAACGTACGTATTCGTCTTGGTGCGCAGCGATGATTCTGGCAGCGGGGGCGGCGTGGCTGATGAGTGGTGCCGAGTAGTGAGCGGGCGCGGCGTACGCTAGGGGAGCGATGCCGTAGGCGGCACGTGGCTGCTCGTGACGCAGGATGGTCTGAGAGGAGACAGCATGTCCGGCGGAGATACGGGCGGGGGCAGCGTAGGTAGCGATGGGAGCAGCTTGGTAGGCGAGGGGAGCGGCATGGATGGCGACGGGAGCGGCGTGGATGGCTTGGGGCTGGTCGTGACGCACGATGCTCTGTGAGGAGACAGCGGCGGCTGAGGAGTAGTGAGCCTGGGGCAAGAGTCCCGCCGTGGTTACGGCCAGCACAGCGCTGAGAGCCAAGATCTGTAAAACATTGTTTTTTAAACTTATTTTTCTTACATGGTCATGTTGTCGTACGGTGTCTTTATACGTTTATTCTTTTACATATTCTTTTCCCTTTATCTTTGCTAAGTGCCTTCTGTGTCCACGTCTTTAATAGTTTTACTTAAAAAAATTAAACAAAAGGTTAAATGTTTAGTTATATTGGATCAATAATTCAACTACATCAGGTTTTTACTTGATTTTAATAAATTAATTTAAATTAAAATCAAATATAATATCATTTTAGGTTTAAAACCTAACAAAATGGAAAACGTTTCCTAAAAATTATTGAACAAAAAAAAAGTCTTTAAATCAAACTTACTTTGGAGAACATTGTTTTACCGGATGTAATAATCAAGTGATAAAGCTTACGGTAATCACAGAGCTTTTATAGCGGTTGATTTTCGGCGCTGACAAGGTCGTCCGGTTAAAAGTTACCTGAGCTTGATTTACTTTGCATATATGGTGTAATATTGTGATATAAAATGTTAAATTAAAATACACTTTTACTATTGTTCTAAAATTTTATTGTATAATTTATTACTTTTTATTGCACTAAATGCTTTCCTGCTCAGTTATTCTTTTTAAGTTCAATGATTGTATCGCACTGTTTCTGTTAATAGATCATTGACTCTTTCCTAATATTAGATAATTACAGATTTTGTGCTGAAATGGGTTTGGTCGCTGTAATGTTTTGTAATGTTGCTAATTTTTGTTTATACAGTTTCCATCTGAATCAGGCATATGTCATGTAGATAAATATTTATTAATTAGTGAAAAGATTTATTATGTATTGCACCTAATTTTAAGAACATAAACCTTATCTGGTGTCTTCGTTATGTCATAGAAAATATTTGTAAAATAATACATAATTTACATGGAAAGTTATAGTAATTTGAAAATGAATCAATGTAATTTAAGAATAATTATCATTGAAGAGAGAATTTGTAACATTTATTTTAAAGAATACATTATTTTCATCTTTAAATAAGGATTATTTGGAATTATGGACGATGATTCAAAGTCTGTTATTTGATTTAATGAGCTACAGTATTTTGTTTACTAGTAGAAAACTTAACTGGGTTTTTCTTAAGTTCGTTAAGTCAGCGCTTGACCACGATCCCAGCTGATGTTAAGTGATGATGTGGTCAGAAGATGGTAATCGGTATTTTAATAAATACTTAGTTACTCTAACTCAAAGTCCCAAACGTCAGATTAGGACGGAAAACCTATAATCTTGTATTATGTTACAGTAGTAAAATCTAAAAAGTTATGAATATAGCTCTCTGGAGTTTGTAATATAGGCTAACTGTTGACTTAGTAGCTTCACTTGTCGTTTATATGTCAGTTTTTAATTTCTTATTTAAGAAATTATATTTGTAATGTGTTTTAAAAACCATTTTTAATTAAAAAAGTGGAAAATGAGTTCATCCCTAATTTACAATTAAACGATTAAAAATTATTCTGACTGTTAAAAATTATTTATTGCGAATTTATTGTAGTTCATACAGAAAAACACATTTAATGAACTTTTGACTTAATCTTTAAAATGGTTTATAAAGTTACACATTAATATTTGTGTCTGCTATTGGCGAATACATATACTCGTAGCTGTTGAGATTTTTCGTTAGATCATTGCTCTTTGTTCCGTTTATTTGTACACAATATGTATATGTATAGAACGAAGGCAAAATTACTATTACTACAGACAGAATAGTAGATGTTATCTTGAATAATCAATTAACATTTTGTAACACTGGCGAGATGCTATTCACTCTTAACTAGATATTTAAACGAACCATTTGTTTCCATTATTGATCCACCATAAAAACATTGGTTTTTAATATAATGGTTGTTAAAGTGCATTTATACACAGTGGCTGTTGCTAGCTTTCTTTGCAGCTAAAAGCTGACGGACGCTTGAATAACATTATCCTGGGTCTGTCCCGTGTCTCTCGTGTCCGTTTGTTTGTATTATGAATACAGTTTGTACATATATATTTACTTAAATTCCATCGCAAACTTCTGGAGCTTAAACTATTCAACAGTGTTCTTATAAAGAAAATGATTATTTTATTTTAATTATATCTTTAATTGAAATCTAAAATCATGTTTAAATAATTTAATTATCACAATGAGGCAGACTAGTTATTGACAATGTTTAGTGATGAGCGAGGATGGCATGTGCGGGGGCGGCGTGGTGGGCGGGAGCGGAGTTGGAGACGACCGCGTTGAAGCCGCTGTGGTCGTCAGCGGTGTACTGCACGGTGCGCACGGAGCCGTCAGCTTCCAACAGAGAGTACTGGCCGTGCACGGCGTCGCCGTCGCGGCTCTCCTGCTGAGACTTGTTGTCGCCGGTGTGTCCGTCAGCCACGGAGTAGGAGAAGTCGTATCTGGGGTGAGCCTGTTACAATAATAACAATAGTTATTAAGAATACTAGTTAAGTCGTGGTTAGTTGTTAGGTGTTTAGGTTAGGTTTATAAAACCTACGTATTCGTCTTGGTGCGCGGCGATGATTCTGGCAGCGGGGGCGGCGTGGCTAATGAGTGGTGCGGAGTAGTGAGCGGGTGCGGCGGCGTACGCTAGGGGAGCGATACCGTAGGCGGCACGCGGCTGCTCGTGACGCAGGATGGTCTGAGAGGATACGGCATGTCCGGCGGAGATATGGGCGGGGGCAGCGTAAGAAGCGATGGGAGCAGCTTGGTAGGCGAGGGGAGCGGCGTGGATGGCAACGGGAGCAGAGTGGATGGCGACGGGAGCGGCGTGGATGGCGTGAGGCTGGTCGTGGCGCACTATGCTCTGGGAGGAGACGGCTGCGGCTGAGGAGTAGTGAGCCTGGGGCAGGAGACCTGCCGCAGACACCGCCAGCACGGCGCTCAATGCTAAGATCTGTAAGATGTAATTAATAAGTTTAAATTGTTATTTATCTGGTATTGCTTGCAATCCGTATTGTTAAATTAAAATAATGAACCTACTTTTGAGAACATGATGTTAAAGTCAATGAAACTCAACTGATAAATCTTTCATTGCCCGGAGAGCTTTTATAGTAAGTAAATTTTAACGACCGCAAGGTCGACAAGTTAAGAGCAGTTTGACATGCTTCATAGTAGTTAATGTGAAAGTATTTTAAAGCCGGTAATAGTATGTTCTAAAAATAAAAAATAAACTTTAAGTTTTGAACCGAAAATAACGACTTTCTTTATAAGACAATGCTTACAAATTACTGATCAACAATTAGATCTTTGCAAGAAACTTAAATTCTAAACTTTCTTTGTATGAAAAGGTCGATTTGGTTATTAAGGCAATAAAAAAACTAATGTTAGTAGCGAGTATAGTAATGGTAGTGGTGGTGATAGACTATTTATTGGAAATGTTTTAAATTTTAATATTTCCTATTATATAAATTTGCCTATCTTCTCTTATTTCATTAGAATTATTTATTGTAATGACGGAAGTACAAACAAACTTACGTTATAACGTAGAACGTAATATTACAAAGTGAAGTAACGTATAATGATCGTTCTGTTCTCCAATTTTAACTAAAGTAAATCTTAATACATGGATTACATTAAAAGTTATATTTTTTACAGTCGTTACATTTTACAAAAAAAAAAAACAAACGTTTCCTAATCTCAAACACTTACGTAGTAATATTGTATTATATTATCCTGCAAGCAAGATGTGTTTATCTATAATTGTAGTTGCTTGATGCCATGTGTTTATTATTATTAATGTATTAGTAACGCTACAAAGAAATTCATTTAAAAATTATGTAAATATATTGATAAACCAATTATAAAAAAATAAATAAATAAACTAAAGTTAAATTACTTCAGTTTATTTATATCTTAATCCATAGCTTGATTTGTTGTTTTTACCAGAACTGCCATTGTTGTTAAATTGATTATAACTACTATGGATTTAGACAACAGTGGCCTTTGTAGAATTTAATTCAGTTCCGATGTCTCTGTTTTCTTAAAGGGTATGGTAAAGAACAAGTGGAAGTACAAGGACGTCCTGGGGTAACACATTATCCATATAAAATTAATAACATAGAATCATGAAACCTTTAATGTTTTACAAACCTTTTTTAATAATAAGGAGAAAAAACCACCAATAGTTATGTTCGCTTTATCGTTTACATAATTTTTATTATTTTTCATTTAACTATAGTTAGTTTATTAATAGACGGGAAAACATTACAATCATGTTTAGTTTGCCGCCTCGATGAAAGGAATGCCGATGATGATGTCGTTTAGAATCCCAACGGAATTTTATGACACAACAACATAATTTCAGAATATAGTAGTAGCTTTTGTTAAGGATTGGTTGAATAAATTTCCACTCCTCAAACTGGGTCTCGCTGAAAAAGAGGTATTAAGAATACCTTTACTAACTTGTCTATGTGCATATGTAGCTGTGTTCTTATGTCCAAAAAGTTGAAAAAATAGTATGATTTCTGTCTCATCATCTACTCTCTATCTAATCATAACTCTTAACATCTGGGACGGGAGAGCCTTATTATTTATTTCATTTAGTTAATACAAGGAACTGTTGCAGTTATAGGATCCGTTGTTAGCCCTTAAATATATCAATTTGTATTGGTATATAATAAGGACAAAAATTAAAAAATAGATATTAATTCCTACTAAACATTTCTTTAATTTTGTTTAATAAATAGTAACAATTATGTCTTGGTCTTAATTTAGTCTAATAATGGGCGAGAGCATGTGCTGGGGCGGCGTGGTGTCCTGGCGCAGAGTGGCTGACGACAGCGTTGAATCCATTGTGGGCATCAGCAGTGTACTGCACAGTGCGCACTGAACCGTCAGCTTCGAGGAGCGAGTAATCACCGTGCACAACATCACCGTCGCGGCTCTCGTGCTGTGACTTGTTGTCGCCGGTGTGTCCGTCGGCCACGGAGTACGCGAAGTCGTATCTGGGGTGAGCCTGTCACAACGATTACAAGGTTGTTATAAGACGTCATTATGATTGCTAATAATTGTGATTATTGTTGTGTTAAGGTTTTTATCAAAACTTACGTATTCGTCCTGATGTGCGGCGATGATCCTAGCAGCGGGGGCGGCGTGGCTGATGAGTGGTGTCGAGTAATGAGCGGGCGCGGCGGCGTATGCTAGGGGAGCGATGCCGTAGGCGGCACGTGGCTGCTCGTGACGCAGGATGGTCTGAGAGGAGACAGCATGTCCGGCGGAGATACGGGCAGGGGCAGCGTAGGTAGCGATGGGAGCGGCTTGGTAAGCGATGGGAGCAGCGTGGATGGCAACGGGAGTGGCGTGAATAGCCTGAGGTTGGTCGTGGCGCACTATGCTCTGGGAGGAGACGGCCGCGGCTGAGGAGTAGTAAGCCTGGGGCAGAAGACCCGCCGCAGACACCGCCAGAACGGCGCTCAAAGCTAGGATCTGTAACGAAAAAAAATATTTTTCACTTTATTGACTAAACAAATAGGTGATTTGACGAAGCGCCTTTAAGGGTACTTTTATTTTTAAATTAATAAAAATCATAATGATAGATTTGCCATTGCTCGTTTAACTTTAATCGCATTGAATTCTTTTTTTTTAGAGTTAAGTATATCTTTACTTACTTTGGTAAACATGATTATTCTTTTACAGTGCTTGTAAGTAACTGATACAGATTTAAAGTATGACTTCCTTTTATATAATATCCATTTTTATCAACTGCAAGGTCAACGTGTCAAAAGTTACAGCATTTTTATCTCGACTCGGTACTCCTATCCATTTTTGAACAAGTCGTTTAGAGTAAGTGGTAAACAATTTGAAAGTTGTAAAGAAATATTTTTTTAGGGACCAAAAAGTCGAAATTTTTAAGACCGTCGATTTATATCAGATGATCTTAAAATTGCAGTTTGTTCTGTTAATCTAAATTTTTGAAATTTGATCTTAGCTTAAATAAACAGTAAACTCATGGCTTTCCTCCGTTTATTCTACTAGCAATAAAATATAATAAATTTATTTCTCATTACATTTTTACTATAATTAGCCATACATTTGTTGGTAGAATTACATAATTAAATTTGTCTGCCGTCGATGTAATCGTAACACCAACCGGTTTTGTTTCAGCTCTCGAAGGCGTTGCTAATTGGTGTCAATAATTGCCACCAATCAATAAACTTGACGTTACACTTTTACACTATATGAATGTAACACCAAACTTGTAACGTTTATGATGGAATGTGTTGTAGTTGGTTTACTGTATATTTGTGTATTGTCTATGTTTATTATAAAAACAATAATATAATGACCTGGTACCAATAGTTTTACTCGAAAATAAATAGTTCTTTAGGAAAATTTAACTGGTTAGAGTACACGAACTTATCTTCTCTCTACATCTCCCTCAAATGAAACCAAAAATAAATTACAAGGCATTTTTATTTTATTGTACCTATAAATTGTATTGTAATAATCTAATGTAACAAAAATGACAACCATAATTTCATACATGAAATATTGTTAAGAAGTAATAGAGTAAAACGTTTCTTCCAATCTTAATGATGAGAGTCATATTTGGTCACTTTAACGGTGCCATGAGGGTCGTGCCAGGAGTACCCGCTCTCGCTCTTGTGGCCATCTCTGTGCTCATGCTGGGTCTTTATATCACCTGTATGGTGGTCTTCTACTTTATACTCGAACTCGTACTTAGGATGAGTCTAAAAGTAAAAATAAAACAATTATAAAAAAATTTAAAACGCAACATATTTTTGAGCTCTTTCTGTCTGACAAAAAAAATCTAAGCATATTTTTGATTGGTTACAGATGTGATATACTGGAACAGCAATAACAGGGAATAAGAACACTAAGGAGCAATCTTTATATTAAAATTAAAGCTATTCGGATAACATTGAATAAAGACCCAGTAGTGTAGTTAGAAACTCATGTGCATAGTTTTGCAAATGCCGGATAAGGTTTCTTAGTCCTGTTCCCACATGGAATTTTTGAATAAAAAAGGTACTTACGTAATAGTCATGGTGATGGTCATGACCGTGACCATGAACATGAACAGGATGATGGTGACCGTCATGACGAGAGATGTGAATCGATGAAAAGCCATGACCATGTGCGTGGCATAAACCAACAGCCAGTATGGCTATCGCCGCAAGACAAATCATCTGTAAAAGACACTAAATTAGTCAGTTTGAATAAAATAATTAACATCAAAATTAAATTTTTTGTATGTTATTATTGTGTACCTTAGAATTCATTTTAATTTTTCTGATATTACAAGTTATTGTTACTTGTAGATCACGTACTTGAATGATATATCTATCACGCTAACTGCAAGTTTTATATCTAAATTCACACTAAATTTCAAGGCTATGTTTTCACATAAATGTACGCAAATTGTCGTAGAAAATTGCTTGCAACAAAAAAGTATTGCTCAAGCTTAAAATATTGTGTTACTCATAGAGAACAATGAATGCGATGACAATATGCGATATATCTTTCATAAAGAATACATAACAGTTATTAAATTTTTCGACGACCACCGTTGATTTAAGTAGCTAGTTAGTTCAATGGCTATTAGCAACTTCCACTTGCATTAATTTATTAATCTCTACAAAGCTATTCAAATTCTTTCAAGCGAAGTGACAAGTTTCAAAGTGCTTTTTGATGATTCACGAAACGAAACATTAAATAAACACACACACGAAATTAATAAGCAATATATTGCGGTCATCGAGTATTTTATCCAGTTTCTTTTTGTTATTCGGCATCTACTTTTTATCTCCTGCTGTCTTTTCAGATTGAATGTGGTTATTACGAGTATGTGTCAGAACTAGCATAGCTTTACTTGACATTTGAGTAGCTACCACTGGACCATCTTAATCTATCTTTAGCATCCTAATGAACACAAAAAATGATGATCGTAATTTCTTATCTTTCATGTACAACTACTATTTGAAAACAATAAAGATATTACCTAATACGAAACTATGGTAACCTTGATCACAATATTGTTGCAAACGTATAAGCGATATTAGTATAAAAATCACAAATTCTGCTCGACATACATCAGTATTATTACTCGTTTAGTAGTAAAACGCAAGTCACTCACGCAGAAATAAATAAAAATGTTCTCTCAGGTGAAAAAGTTATTGTTTTAATAAGTAAATTTGCAAGAGATTGGTCTCTTGTTAAATGTTTATTATATTTGATTGTTATTTATTTGCAGGTATTATGCTTTACCGTTATAACTGCAGTAGTGATGGCTCAAGATCACGGTCACGCGTTTTCATCCAATCACATCTCTCGCCACGACGGACATCACCAGACAGTACACGGCCACGGTCATGGGCACGAACATCTCGATTATTATGTGAGTTGTGCATTTAAATTACTATCACGTAAGATGCGACTTAGGTTAACGTAAGAATAAAAATCGGTCGGTTGCACGCCTTGGTGTGAAGACGCGCAAAAAGTTATTAAAATTAGCTCCGTACGTCTAAAAGTTACGAAAAATACAATTGGCGGGAAAAGTTTGACGAAGTTAACAGTGCTATATATCGACAGAAGCAGAAAATTTTCCTGAATCAAACAGTGAAAAAATTTCAGTCAAAAAGACTAAGAAAAAATTTTTGGAATCAAAAACATCAAAAATTTCAATTTTAGAAACCTTTAAAAAACAACGCTGCGAAAAAGAGATCGACGACCTACCATTTTTATCACATCATTCGATAGCCCTCGTTGAGGTCTGGGCCCTCGATCGGTTTTCAGAATTTTTCACCTAAGAAAAACTTAGAAAAACCATAGAAAAAGAAAACCGCGTGGCCACGAGGTCCCAGATCCGGATGAGCTGGAAGCACGTGACACACCTCAATCGATAGCCCTCGAAAAGCTGGACAAGACACTATTATTGGAATTGGATTTGGACAACTAAGTCGAGAAATATAACGCCGGAAATAACTAGAAAAACTTTAAAAAATTACATTAATTTTGAAAATTTAAAACTTCTAAAAGAGATCTGTAACATATATAAAATTTTATTTAGACATAACCGGTATAAAACAGGGAACATTTTGATACCTTGTTCGGATTTTTCGGACAAAAATTGACGCAGATTTGACAAGTTAGTCACTTACAAGATTCATTAAAACCACGTGTACACATAGTACCAGATCTTATAGCTCTGGAACCCTGGTAACAACTTTAACTTGAAGAGCAAGAAAGAAGAAGAAGAACGACACCTCAACCATAAAAATCGGACAAGGGAAACCGGAGTTATATTAAGTTAAAGTATAAAGTCACGTAAATTATCAAAGTTGATAAACTTGATAAAGTTGTCAAACATGTTGCGACTGTGATTGACTTGTAAACAAAGGGCGACGTAGCAGATAGTGTAAGTTTCAGACAATTTAGTACCTGACCAGATTTTCTAGTCATCTTAAAATTTTTCCTTGTTTATTATTTATGTCAATTTAAAGTTAGCTTATTATTATTAACTAATTGTAATTATCGAATATTTAAATTTAAATTTATATTACTATATTTCTTTTCTCCTCTTTATATCTGGTCTAGTTCTAAGTTGCACATATTGACAGGGTCTTTTGCCCGCAATATTAGAATAAGTATTTCATGACAGGGTTTATTGACTGGGTTTATTGCCCACAATACTAGACGTAGGAATTATTAGGGTTTATTGACCGATTAAGTTTATTTAATCTAATTTTATCCTATTTTAATTTTTGACGTGTTCTCACAACATGATGGGTATTAGGACCCCAGTAAAGAAGGGCGGCGTTCAGATCCGGAAATCGGTAGATAGGACAGAGTCAGAACAGATGGTTACACAACCATCACCTAATATTAACAATGAAACGCAGGTCCTAAGCGTCCGAAAGAGCGTAGGGGAATGGGAGTCGGGGGGCGATCCCACGACCCTGACATCCCCCAAAAAGACATCGAGGGTGATACGCAAGCGCGTGGTGCCCCTGGAAGAATTCCAAAATCAAAATGTACAGGCAGAAGCAACTGATGGCCCCTCAAACAGTCCAAATACCGATATTAGGGATAGAGTAAGGGAAGCGCGAAGTAGCCTAGTAACAGGCAAAACACTTTTAAATAACGCAAAAAACATTAAAACAGAACTTAAGACAGGGGCCATCAGTGCTATGGAGACCCTCTACCGACTTGTTAAAGAGGCGGAAGCAGAATTAGTAAAGATTAGAAAAAGCATAGAAGCACAACAGGAGGCGCAGGGAGGGGGGTCGAAGGAAGAGGAGGACCTAGGCCCTCAAATCTCACAGACACCCCTCACTGCCTCCCCTGATGAGCACACAGGAAAGCAGGAAGAATTTTTTAGAAAATTAGAAGAGCATGCAAAATTAGTAGAAAGAAATACAAAGGAAGTAGAAGACCTGAAAGAAACTCTGAAGCAGGCCGGGAGCAGGATCATCCAGGGCACCTACGCGAGCGTAGCCGCAGGAAGGACCCAAGGAGCGCCGCTGGGTGTTGGGGCCACTCACTCAGTGGCGATCAGGTCCGATGACGAACGTGATACTGGGGAACAAGTTTTAGACAAAATTAGAAAAGTAATTAGCGCAAAAGACGAAGGAATAAGGGTGGATAGTGTTAGAAAGGCCAAGGACCGAAAAGTTATAGTAGGGTGTAGCACGGAAAGTGAATTAGACAGGATTAAGGACAGGCTGCGGAGTGTAGGCGGCGGTTTGCAAGTGGAAGATATAAAGAACAAAGACCCTTTAATTAGATTAAACAACGTACTTACCTTCATCCAGGACGCCGATGTAGTTCAAGCTATAAAAAATCAAAACAAGGCCCTACTAAATAATATTGCCGAGGAGGACCTTAGGATGGAGGTAAGGTACAGAAAAAGGGCCAGGAATCCGCTAACATCTCACATCGTTATGAGAGTTTCTCCGGCAGTCTGGCGGCGACTGACGGAGACGGGGACAGTGCATGTAGACTTACAGCGGGTCCAGGTTGTCGACCAATCCCCCCTCGTCCAGTGCTCTCGGTGCCTGGGGTACGGGCACACGAAGCGGCTGTGCACCGAGCAGACGGATGTGTGCAGCCACTGCGGGGGCCCGCATCTCAGGTCCGAGTGCACTAATTGGCAGGCTGGGGATCCACCGTCTTGCCGGAACTGCCTCAAGGCGAAATCCGACAGGAGGGACCACAACGCGTTCAGCGACGACTGCCCGGTGAGAAGAAGGTGGGAGGCACTCGCGCGGGCCACCGTGGCCTACTGCTAAGGTGGTCCCAGGTGCCTCCGGCGCTCTTCATGCTAGGCAGCGCTGTTATCACGCTGTGCAGGCAAATTTGCAGAGATCCAGGGTCTCCACGGCTGAGCTAATCGAAGAGGCGAAGGAAAGGAAACTTTCCTTCGCCTTGGTCCAGGAGCCGTATACTGGCAACACTGGGGAGATGAGGCAGCATCCAGGTACAAGGGTAGTACAATGCGCTGCCAACCGAAGGGGGGAGGACGTGGTTAAGGCAGCCATTGTACTATTCGACGACACCTTGTCTATCACCCACTGTCCGGACCTCACCTCTTGCAACATTGCGACTGCAAAGGTGAGAACCGCGGCATGGGAGGTAGGCTTGGTGTCCGTCTACCTGGAGCCAAATAAGCCCATCGAACCTTATCTGGACTTGATTGGCACTGTCGTGGAGAGGCTGGATACTGCCGGCGTGATACTGGGCGGCGACGTGAACGCGTGGTCCTCATGGTGGGGAAGCCGAGCCACGAACAAAAGGGGGGAAGAATTGGTTGCCAAGCTGGGCGAGCTGGGTCTACATGTACTCAACTCTGGGTCTGAGCCTACCTTTGATACCATTCGTGGTACCACACGGTACACTAGCTGCGTGGATATTACTGTCTGCACGACCGCAATGCTCGGAAAGGTCGTGAACTGGCGCCTCGCAGACGATATATCCTGTTCGGACCACAAGGCAATTCTGTTCGACGTAAGACTCCAGAGATCCTCAGGCACGGACATCTGTCGCTCCACCCGGAAGTACAATACCAGAAAAGCAAATTGGGGCGAGTTTCGAGAGAAACTCGCCTCAAAACTGAGTGAAAGGAACGTTACGGAAGAAGAAGTAAACAAGGTGACTGGAAAGGAAGAGCTAGAGAGAAAGGTGAACAGCTATATGGAAAGCGTGGTGGAAGCCTGTAATGAGACCGTGCCGGGAGTTCCTAGGAGGAGTAGAACAGGATTGCCTTGGTGGTCCGAAAAGCTCTCTCGCCTCAAAAAAG